CTTTTTAAAAAAAAAAAAACCGGAAATTTCAATAATTTGAAAAATTAAGGGAAGCTATGAATGAATTTTTATTTGGCAAATTTTTAATTTAAAAAGTGTGAAAACGCAAGGAAATTTGAAGTGTTACGAGGTGAAAAAAAAAAAAAAAAAAAACCAAAGCGAATGAATAAAAATAAAATAGCAAAATTGTGATAACAAATCAAAATTTTGTTAAATTTCTACTTTAATATGACATACTTCAATTTATAAATTATCAAGCTTTTTAATTTTTCTTTCCTCTTAAATTTTAAGCTTATTACTTTATTTTTTTTTTTCAAAATTTACATGTTTCTTTTATGACATCATTTCCTTTCATTTCAATTTGCAATAATTCATTTACAGAATCGAATGCATGAATCATTGAAATTATTCGATTCAATTTGCAATAATAAATGGTTCACCGACACATCAATCATTTTATTCTTGAATAAGAAAGATTTATTTGAGGAAAAAATTAAGAAATCACCATTAACAATATGTTTTCCGGAATATTCGGGTACTTTTCTTTTCTTTTCATTGTTTTGTAAATGTAATATTAGAGATATGAATGAGCAAATCGGATATTAGGGCTAGTAGAGAACAAAATATAATAAGGCAAGGAAATTCAAATTTAAAAATTACGATGATTTTTTTTTAAATGCGGCAAATTCTATTCCAGTATTTTAGTTAATCAAATTCTATTCTACCTTCAATACTATTTCTTTCAATTTGTTAAAATTGATATAATTATCTCCCATTGCTAATATAAATGTATGTGTAAATATCACACTCTTTTTTTTTTTTTGTTATTTAATCTATGCCTCAAATTAAATGTTCATTTTTAAATTAATTTTCTAATCTTTATGCAATTAATTTAATTTAAATATGTACAGATTTGCATATTTCAAGGTCGACAAGATTATCACGAAGCCAGTGCATATATCCAAGCACAGTTTGAAGCAAAAAATAAATCGGCCAACAAAGAAATTTACTGTCACATGACATGTGCAACCGATACTACCAATATTCAATTTGTATTTGATGCTGTCACTGATGTTATCATTGCCAATAATTTAAGGGGTTGTGGTCTTTATTAAAACAAAAAAGAAAGAATTCAACAATAATTCTGTTTCATCTCTTTTTCCTTTTTTTTATTTTTAATTTGAAGTACAATTTTTCTTCCTTTTTTTTTTTTTTTTTTATTTTTACACTATATGTATTAAATGTTTTTCGTTTTATTTCTAATTTTTTTTTTTTTTTTTTCATTACATGCATTAATTAATTGTTTATCGTTGTTTTTCAAGTTCCAAATTATCGATTCTCTGCTTTTCAAATTCTGGATTATTCGTTTTTTTTTTTTTTTTAATCTGTGAGCAACATATTATTATAATATTGTTTATTTATATTTTTGAAGAAAAAAGAAGGGAAACAAAATTTCTTCAATATTTGTATTTTAAACATCTGAAGAAGAAAAAAAAAGTTTGTTTTAAAATTTATTTTCACATTTTTATAATTGATTTTATTATGAATTGCTTGATTTTGATAGATTGAAGTTTTTCAAATTTAAAATGAAACTTGAATTATTCTTGCCCGCCAAGTATTAAGTCTGAATGATTCTCAGATCGGAAGCATAATAATCGGTTTAGCCAATTCTTGTCCAATTTCAAATATCGAATTGTCATTTGATTTGTAAAATCAAACTTTATCATATAATTTATTGATTCCAAGAAAACTTTTTCGTAATTACAAATATCTAAATTGTATTTACCATAAAGTGACATTTTTTTTTTTTAAATAAAAAAGTTTTTCAATAATTTCTTGGCTATATAAAATTCAATTTTCTTCAAAAGAAGACGGTAAAATTTGCAGCTAAATCTTTCAGCTAACTATTATTCCCTCAACTATTCACAATTCATAACCATTGTTTCAAAGTTTCCTTTTTTTTCTAATTTTTATTATTCAAATATTATGATTACTTTAGTTTTATTTAATTTTAGTATTGCTTTTGTAACAGTTTGTTTCTCCTGTAGAATGGAAAAAAGGGAAGAAAACAAGAAATGAATGTTTTTTTTTTAAATTTAATTTTCTCCGGGAAATAATTGAAAGTTCTTTCAATTGTGCTTTTGTGTATCGCTGCTATCTTCCAGTAATTTTTTTGGCTATAATCGTTTTTGTTGAGTTCAAATATGAACAAGAAAAAAAAGAAAAAAAAAAAAAGAAAATGAAAGTTTAAAGGATGCTCACGTTTAACGTATGAAACGTTTTCCGTATACTGTTTAACGTGAAATAAAGTACTTTTCTGTCACAAAAAAAGAAAAACGTGGAAAAAAAAATGGAAGAACTTGTGAAAACGATAATTCTTTAATGAAATAATTGTTGTTTGTTTTAGTATTGAAATGATTTCTCATTTATCATCATTTTATCAATAGTAATAATAAATTTTTATGACTACTTTCTATATTCTATTATGATATTTAAATTTCTGTGATTATTATGATAATCATAATAATAATAGTAATAAAAGTTATGGTAATGATGCTAAGGATGATTGATGATTATGATATCGATAATAACAATATTATTGATATTGAAGTTAGCAAAGGTATAGGTAATAAAATAATAAAAGATAACACGTGTATGTATTTGTTTTTTTTTTTTGTATTTATTTATTCGGAGTTAATTAGATTTGATTAATTAAAATTAATTAAAATTTAATTTCAAATTAAATAAAACAGGAATTGAATGGAAGCATAATAAGCTATGATTTTTGAAAAGCGAACAGTAAAAATTGTAGTGAAATGAATTTGGATTTTGACCATTTAGTTATAATTGTTTTTCCATTATTTTTCAAAATTTACTGTCTATCATTTAAATATCTTTCTACACAATATTTAAATGCCTAACTGTTATGATTGCAAATGAGTCGGAAAGTCACTGATTAGGTCGTATTGATATAGTCAATTCTTGATGTCAGTTAGTCATCAATAAGTCATTTCAATTAAAATAATGGAAAATTTTTCCTGATCAGGAATGTTCCACGTTAAACATTAACGGATGTATTTTCTCTCATTTTTCCTTTTATTTTCTCGTAATACAATAACTGTTTATCTTACTAATCATGCAGAAAATTTGTATTCCTATTTCTCCATTTCCTTTCAAATTTTTTAATCATTTAGTTATATAAGTATTTTTCAAGAAATCCTTTTAAATATTTTTTATTCATAACGAAAATATTCCAAATCGTTCATAAAATTGGTACTACAACTTATTATTTCAATTATTGCAAATTATTGATAAAAACGAATTTTTATCACATATATAATATGTTATCACTTTAATGTACATTAATTATCATATTACATTACATTAAATACTTGGTTAAATTTCCTCTTACGAATTTTCTTATGGCATTCCGCGATGACCATTTATTGTAAATTACAAATTAATTACCATCACCTTTGATTCATTTTCCTTAAATGCTGTAATTTCAGCAACTTTCAGTAATTTGTGGTTATTTTAATCATTAATCCAATTCGTTAGTTCTAGATACATCCATCAAATTGATTATTCATAAATGCTAGTGAATATTTATATTTTCAAATTTATTATATTGCGGGTATATCGCATTGCTTACCGGGTAACTCCCATAAATGTTCATAAATACCAATGTTTTAAAAGGTTCGTATCACAGGTACATACTGATAATGTCACCTAATCCGAATTGTTTAAATTCTGAAATTTCTTGCATGCTGCAGCAAATAATTCGTTTAACTTAGTTCACCATTTTAATGATTCAATTTTTCAAATCATCAAAACATATTTGAAAACAGAGAGAGAGAGAGAGAGAGAGAGAGAGAAGGAGAGGGAAAAAAAAATGAAGAAGTAAAGGAAGAGAATAAATTAATTTGTAACTAACATATTCAATAAAAAATATTAGTAAAAAACTATAAAAAGTATATTGGAACGCTTACCCACAGATTTTACCCACAGGTTAAACATTACCGGTGAAAAATGTGCTTTTCCAAATAAAAACTTAAAATTATGTACAAAAGATAAAAGTATGATTGCCCACTCTCAAAATTTTTACAAAATTGTATCAAATTTTTCGAAAGATTTCTGTTATCAATATGATTACTTTTCATTTTTCATATTTATTATTATTACTGTTATACTTTTATTATTATTATTATTATTATTATTATTATTGGTAATATTGATAATATTTCTCGCAGATTATTTTCTAAACGAAATTGATTTAATTTTCATCGTATCATTAGGCTTCGTTTATTTTTATAATAAAGCAACCAACTTTCATTATAACGATAACTTAATGAATGCTACTTTGAAATGGATTATAATAATTAAGAATAGCAAGATAATGATAGATAATGATAGTTTAAATGATGGTTTAATAAAGGAAAATTATTATAGTTTATACTTATCTGTCAACTAACAAAAAAAATATTAATTTTTTATTTAATAATTATAGTCAAATTAAGTGCTCAAAAGGAAACGAATAAAAAAGAATTAAATAATTCGTTGGCTAAACAATAAACAATAAGACAATGAGTAGTATGTTAAGAAGTAATTGTATTTGTAAGAAAAATAATTATGCTAAGTAAATAATATAATATCTTATTAGTTAATCTATGTTTCCAATTATTTACTACTAATTTTCTTCTCCCTGTCTTCATATACAGTAATTCAACAAAGAATTTATATATGCTAAATTTCTTCCCCTCAACGTATCATTTTGCATCTCATCGACAGGTGACAGATGACACAGTCCCTCTCAAAATACCTTCACATTTCACATCATTCATCTTTGTCTCCTCTCTCTCTCCCTCTCTCTGTACCTTTGTTCATGACATGTTTACATCAATAATTCTATCAGCAAGGGCATTCGTTCATCGTATTGCGGTCGGTGACGACAAATTGAACAAAATATTTCTATTATCTCTTTCCAGGGAGAGACAAAGAGGAAAGGATGGAAAGAGTGGGAGAGAGAGGGGGAAAGAAAGAAAGTACAACTAAAATTCTCTTCTTACCTCTCTTCTCTTTCCTTTTTCTCTCTTCTTCACATTCTGTTAAGATTGTTGTTGTGACAAACTATTGATTAGATATGTCCTATTCAATTCATCTTTAAAGAGAGTGAGAGAAAGAAAGAGAGAGAGAGAGAGAGAGGTGAGAAGGAGAGTTTTGAAAATGTCCTCCTTATTTTGTTTTGTTTTTAAGCACAATATAAAAAGGAACAAAGAGGGAAAAAAGGTGATAAAAGAGAAAAAGGGCGAGAGACAGAGAAATGAGGGAAAAGAAAAAGAGGGAAAAGTGGGTGGCAAATATTTTTTCAATTGTTTTTCCGTTGGTTCATCTAATCGCTCATTTTATTTACTGTTTTCCTTCGTTTCTTTCATATTTTTTTTAAGTATGGAAGTTTTTATTTGAAAGACAAAAGGAAAAAGTAAGGGAGTAAATAGTAAGTAAAGTAAGTAAGTAAATGAAGTAAGTAAGATATTTCGTTACAGTAAACAACAAAAAGAGAATAATGTAGAGGGAAAGCTTACAGGAAGTTCCATTTGAAACTTTTGCTGAAATTGAATTTAACATAAAAAATGAATCATAATTCAAAGAAGAAGAAAAAAGTTGCAAAATTATCCCTTCATTATCACTGACTAAAAATTTGGTGGAGATACAATTAATTATATTTGGTTGGAGATGAAAATTTCAAAAGTGCTATAATTGTTTAATTAAATTAATGCTATTGCTAATAAGCGATTAACCATATTTTTGCCAATTTAATTTTGAAACTTTTTAACAAAAAAAGAAACAAAGAGAAGTTATTTTTACTAAACATCCAATTTAATTATATATTGAATGTAGTTCTAATCTAAATTACAAAATTTAATATTTAAATTTGGATTGAAATTCAATTTCATTATCTAAATCACACAATAGAGTCATTGCCATAGTGAAATTTGCATAAAAATTAAATTTATGAATAAAAGTTTGTTTTCATTGTTATGAATGCACTGATAGCACTGATTATTTTTGATAGAAATGTTTGAGACTTTTAGTACGATTTCTAGTCTTTTTAATTTATTTGGCAATGTTTGGTTAACTTTTCTTTTTCTCTTTTGTTATTTCGCATACGTTTTGCTCTTTTGTATTTGTCTGTTTAAAAAAATTTCTCAAATTATTGATTTAAAATGTAAAATAATTTTTGTAATATTTCATAAATTTATTTGTTGCGAATGAATCATAATTGGTTAATTTAAAAAAAAAAAAAAAAAAAAAAAAAAAAATAAAAATAAACCTTCTCTTATTTTTATTTGAGTGACTCATTTTATTTTTAAACATTTGTCTTAGTTTTTTTTCACTATTTTTCGTTCCATAAAAGACTTTGATAAACTTTTTAGCATCCTTTGAAAATTTACTGCTTTAAACTTTATTGCTATCTATTATTTTACGACTAATTGAACTATTGTAAAGTTGTTTAGTAAATTTCAAAGGATTTTTGAAGATACCAATGAGTGATGAAAATTAAGCATTAATTCAATTATGTTAATATGTATCAAAAATATTATTTTAAAATGGCAGATTTATACTCTTTTAAAACCAATATCATACATTGTCGAATTGAAAAAAGAGAATTTCCTTTTATTCTCCTTTTTTTTTTTTTTTTTTGAACATTATTTTGCACATTATTTCAGTTTTCATCCATTCTATCACATTTGTTTTTAATTAAATTCATTCCTCTTTCAGAGAAAAAAAAAAAAAAAAAAACAAAAATTTCATTTATTTGAAAAAAGTTTTATTTGTCTTCATCTCATTGTTTTTTTTTTCTTTTTGTCCTCTTGTTTTCGTATTATTTAAAAAATTGAAAAAATCATTGTCAGTCTGCAAAAAAAGAGAGAAATGATAAAATAAAAGAAAATTTGAATCGTTTCTCTTCATTTAATTTTTTGCATTTTATTGCTAAAAAATGTATGAATTTCACATGCACAAATACATCAGATTTGTTCAATTTTACCTTTTTTCTTTCATCTTTCCCTCCCCCTCTCTCTCTCTCTCTCTTTCCTTCCCTGTCTCTCTCTGTCTTTCTCTCCTTCACACTTTTATTGTTCAATCAATTAGGGAAAACTTTCTGTTAAAGTTACATTTGATTCATTTTATTTTATTTCATTCTTATCAAACGGTTTTCTCTTTTTTCATAATTTCCTATTTATTTATTTTTTTCTTTTTATCAAAATATCTGAAAAAAAAAAAAAAAAAAAAAAACAAAAAAATATTTCGATTATTAATTTTTTCTGCATTTTTGACTAATTCATAGTTTATTCAGGAATTGTATGATAATAATAATAATAATAATATTTGTCATCGTATATACATATTGCTACTGCTAAAAAAAGAAATAAAATTTCTTAGTGAAATTTTTTCCTAGCCAGCCAATAATAATAATTAATAAAGGTAATAATAAGAAAAATTATTTAATTAATTAAGGTAGTAAGAACGGTAATGAAATCTTATTTAATATCGAGGAATTTAGATTTTCTCTAGTATCCGTATTTAAATCATTTTCTAAAATAACAGATTTTTAAATTTTATAAATTGCGACTGTTTTTATTATTTAATCTTTCTCAAAAATTCTCAATTCGATTCATTTGCCTTTAATAACATTTTCCGGCTTTTTCCGGTTGAATTCATTTTTAATATATCATAGAATTATTATCGAATCACATTTTTCTCATCACTTCAATTCATAATTATCTTTTTTTTTTATCTTTCCAAACTTCGAAATTAAATTTTTCCACAAAATTATTATATCTGTTGGAAATAATTGAATTACAAATAATGCAGTAGTAAATTACCCATAATTATTACTTTTGTCCCTTTTTTCCATTTTTTAATTATCCAAAAAGAAAAAAAAAAAAATGTATGTTTATGAGTAAAATATGTCTTTTTTACTTTTTCTTCGACCATTGTATTCAATTCTTCCGGAAAGTTTCCAGTTTTGCCCGTAGACGTAAATATATCGTAGAATTTACAGGCATAAATAGATGTACTTTACCTGAAAAAGTAAGTGCCATGAAAATTTTTTGATATATCGCGGGGTTTTCAAGCATATTTTCACCGTCTTTAAATATAAAACTATTTCTGTCTCTATTTTAACTCTTACTATTCTTTCATCTCAATTTATAATCATTGTAAAGCTGTTGTCAAAAAGAAAAACGAAATTTATATTTCATATTTGAGCCATTTTCAAATTGTATCTTAGTTTTGTAAATTTTGTGCACAAATCATAAAACAAAAATTTTTTTTTGCGTTTTTTTTTTTTTTTTTTCTCTTGGCGGAAAAATAAAAAGAGTAGTTAAAAATTTTTTCCAATTGATTCACAAAAAATTCACAAAAAACGATTTTTTTTCTCGCATAAATTTTTGTAAATTTGTGGAATTTTTATTCATTAATATTTATTGGATTTTTCTTACATTTATTTTTCTTTTCATAATTTGCAATTTAAAAAATTGTTGAAAAAAATTGAGTAATAAAAAAGGAGAGAAAATTTTGCATATTAGTGCATCCCATTAATAAGAGATCGCGGGGAGTGAGATGGGGTGGGACGGGGAAATGTTGGGAAAGCAGCGGGAAAGAAAGTGGGCAACGAAGGATAGAAACTATTAGTATTGGGAGAAATAGTTGTAGAAGTGGTTGTGAAATTAGTTATTGAAATGAGATTATTCCACTAAACTAAACGGTCAGTGGTCAGCGTAGTCCACTGAATTCAATCAATCAATCAATCGATCGATCGTTCGTTCGTTAACTATTATAGTGTAAATATAATCGATAATCGATCAATTGAAATAATTCAAAAATAGAAAAAAAAAAATTCTTTCCTTTCTTACAGTTCGGAGTTAATAATTTTAATTACTCCTTTATCATACAAATTTTTTCTCGATTTTTTTTTTTTTGCAAAATATTCTAAATTATTATTTTTGTTTGTTACCATTGTTTTTCTTATATACTTACTAAAACTAAAGTCATTTGTTATTATTTAAAAAAGAATTTTTTTTTCTTCTGGATTTTACCTTTCTATTTGTTTTTGTTTTAGCGAAAAAAAAAAAGAAAAAGAATAAACATTGAAATCTGAATGTTAAAAATAATTTCTCGTTCAGTTCTAGTGATGTCACTTTTATTCCTTTCTTTAAACAAATTCGTTCATTAAATATTATCATCCATCTTATTAGCTTATTGGCCTACTTTTTTCTCATTTCTAATACAATTATCAATTTTTCATTTGTTTATCATATGTATATATATGGTTTTCATCTTAAACAAATTGAAAAAAAAATTCTGATTTTTGATTTGGAATGTAAAAAGAATTTTGAAAAGATTTGAAAATCAAAAAACTAATGGTTTCATTTAATGGATCATTTCAAATTGCACTTTTTTTTTTTCTAAATTTCTTGATGAACTCTGATTACTTCCTGCTAAAATATAATGGAAAGCACTTTTCAATTTTTTATTGCTTTTATTACTTCTCTGTTTACTAACAGATTCAATCTTTTTCAAAATTGCAGGAAACATACACATACACACACACGCACACATACATACATACACACATGCATACATACATACACATATGCATACATACTCACATGCACATATGCAGACATACACATACGCATACGGACATAATAATACATACACATACATAACACACATACACACACACACACAAATTTGCATATATGTAGTGTATATATGTATGCATACATACATACATAAATGTAAATGTGGTCCTTTTATTTTTTATTTTTAGTTTTTAAATTCATTAAAATAAGTATTATAATTTTGATAGGACTATGAATCTAACATAAAATTTTTATTGAGGGAAGGAATAATTTTATATTTAATCAAATACCTTTTTGAATAATTTACCTTTGTGTGAGCCTTTTGTCGATTTTGTCTTACATAAGAAAATGGCTTGCAAATTTTAGAAAGAATGAACAAATCTTCGTTTTTTTCAAATATCACCAATATGATACCTGATAGTTACTGATATCGTTTATCAGCTGCTGATATTATCAGTCATCAGTTATCAGCATTATTATCACACGTCACACTTTTTATCATTTGTCAACTTCATCAAATTCCCTCCTTTCCTTTGCATTATTATTTGGAGGAATAAGAGGAAATTTGAGCGATGATTTCAATAGTAATAATAACTTCCTCTTTTCTCTTTCCTGTCTCTCTCTCTCCCTCTCTCTCTCTCTCTCTCCCTCTGTACGACATTACTTCACATCGCATCTTAAGTGTGCATTCTGCAGTGATGGTCATAATTGTTATTGCTTTTAGTTATGCCAACAATACTCAATAATAGCTCGTTGAAGGCGTGTCCACCATGAGATGTCCCCAAATGGGCGACAACTAGTGAAGTGTCCCCGAACGGGCGGCTCTAATCTTTCTCTGTCACATCTTGCGGAATGTACCCAAAAGGACAACCCGTAGTACATATCACTCACTCTCATACTCATTCCTTGTCATTCTGCAAAATCACTTGTCTTTCGTTTTCTGCTTTTTGTTTCAAAGTTCCACGTATATATATGCGTATCTACGTGTCACATAAGTTGCTAAAAATAGGAATAAATCAAATTTATTTATATTTCAAAAATTTCAGGAAACATTGAGACGTACTAAATTATATTCGTTCCCTTAAAACGAAAAATTATGGCCGCTAATGAATCATCCAGACGTTTAGTATATTACCGTGTCCTGAACGTCAATCATGCGGGAATTTCGGAAGTTCTGCCGGGTTTGTATATCAGCGGTGTTTGCGCCCTGAAAGCATCAACAATTCAGGAATACAACATTACGATGATCGTCAATGCTACCAGTGAGGTAAGATATGGCAAAAGGAAACAGAAAAAAACGTATGGGGAAGGATTTCCAATAATTTAAAATTGGCATATTTGTCAAAATCTAGATTTCCAAAAAAAAAAAAAAACAAATTTCTTTTTTTTTTTTTTAGTTTGGAATATTATAAGATGAAAAGAAAAAAGGAAAGAAATTTTTAATAGCCATACTGCGGTAACTTTTCAGAATTTCTTTGTTTATTTTATGTTTTCGCATGGGAAAACATTATGGAAAATGAATCAAACAAAGTTTGATTTTATTTTTTTTTTTTTTTTTTTTAAATTTGGACTAAAGAAAAAATTTTTTTGTATACTTTAACTTTTTCGCTTTTTTTTCACTTACTTTTTTGCCCTTAATATGGTTTACAATGAAAAAAAAAAAAAAATGACTTGTTCACTATGATTGTCTCCCTCCTTCTCTCCCTCTCTCTCTCCCTCTCTCTCTTTCTTTTCCTTTTTTGGTTTCAATTCATTTAATAAATTGATTAGGATAATGGTTACAGTGGTATATTTCTCCACGTACGAGCCTTTCCCCCACCTGATAATGGCTACTTCTGCGAATAGGAGTACCACACGATTGATTTCATGGAAACACACCTCTTGTTCCTGATTTTATGGTACCAGTATTCAACTTTCAAACAGGAACAATTACACATGGCCAAAGGGTTTTTTTAATTCGCTTTTTTATCTTTTTTTTTTTTAAAAGAAAAAAGAAAAAAAAAAAAAAAAAAAAAACTAAACACTGAATGAAAATTGGAACAAATTGTTTTGTGGGTTTGGTTTACCGGTCACCTATCCTTCTAGGCTCATTTTATCACGTGGAGGTTGAACAGTATGGAAACCTAACATCTCCCAACCTTTGGTGGACGAATTAAGAATTTTTCCTCTTAAAAAAGATGAGTGAATAAAATTGAGATATTGATGAAAACATTTTGCTGTTTTATAGGTGCCAAATTCAGCTTCATTAGGTACATTGCCAAGAATCAAACTTTGGTTGGAAGATACTCAAGAATCATGGGCTCTGTCATATCTGGATTTTGTATGTGATAAGGTTTGCTATTAATATATTACTGCTAAGAATTTTCAGAACTTAGAATTTTTTTCTTCCCTTTAAGAAATTCAATTCTAAATTTTATATGAAGTTCAAATTGTTGAAAATGAATGGATTTTTTTGTGCATTTTCCCAAGCATTTATTATTAAAAATGAAAATCATCAACTAGGCAGCATATAAAAATGTCATAATTTTTTGAGATGCTAAAAGTGATAGCCAGAGGTGGTAAAGTTCTCATTCATTCGGTACAAGGCGTATCACGTTGCGCAACAATTTGCCTTGCTTTTCTTACCAAATATAAATTTAAAACATTGCGTGATGCTTACATGCATTTGGCTTCCGTACGACCAAAAGTGGAACCAAATATTGGTTTTTGGCGACAGCTCATCTCATTTGAACAGGTAATACATCACACTAAATGTTTTTTTGAAAAAAAAAAAAAAAAAAAAATTAGAAAAGAAAAATTGGAAATTTTAAATCTTTATTTATTACTATTAATACTTTTTTAGGATGTTAAGCAACGTATGAGTTCGGTAAAAATTGTACGAGATCAAAATAATCCAGCCATTTTGGTGCCGGATGTTTATCGGAAATATCTTTTACGTTGTAAAAGGAATCTACAACTTCAGCAAGCTAATATGTTAAGCATTACGGAAGGGTCAAAATTTAATGAAACATTACAACAGCAGTCTTTACTTAATGGAAACAATAATGAATTCACCAATGAACAAGACAGTAATACTTATCGATCAGCGACAATTACCACCGGAAGCGCTAAATGCATCACTGATACGGTTGCTGAAGAAGCGAGCGGAAGCTCAACCGGATTATGTACTTCGCTAATATCCAATCGAAAATCGCGTATTTCTCGAAGGAAGTCTTCAGTAACAAAGAAATTTCAACCAGTTCTAGAGCCACTTATTGAATTTGTTTAAGTAATTGCTAGAACATATAAGAATGTAAAGAGTGCTATACCAAATATTGTGGTAATCACAAGAAATATATATTATTGAGAGGAAATAATCTTTTGTAGTAATAAAGTTCGAAATCAAGTATTCACTGCTATATTTTTATCTGATTTGCTTCTTTTCATTTGCTATCCTTGAAAGTATCAATTGCAGTCATGTTTGTCTAAACTATAAATCATTTGTTGATTTGATTGTATATTTCTCTAATATGAATATACTTTTTTTTTCCATCAAAATTAAACTTTCTTATTCTTTTTTTCTTAACAACAAATTTTGTTAGAAAAAAGAGAGATGAATTCTTTTTTTTTGGAGTAATTTATTAAAGAAAAACAATAGCTTGCTGCTATTTCTAGTTAATGCAAGCTGTTGTCTTTGCTACAAGAATAACGGCAATTTAGGAAAGAATTTCCAATATTTTGATTTCATAAAATTTGGCAAAAATTTTTGTCCATGAAAACAATTAATTACCTTTTTGCAGAAGAAAGAAGTATTCAGGAAAGTTTTCTTTGTATATCAAATGGTCTTCACGTTTTACATTTATAAAATTCACTTCTTTCATTCAGAATTTATTTTCTTTTCTCTTTTGTTTCTCGTTATCTTGTACAATTTACAGTAATTTTACTTACAATTTTAAATTTTACTTACATTAATTGCTTATTTATTTATTTTTTTTTTTTTGCTAAATTTTTGAATTATTGCTTATTATTTTTATTGTTTGCTAAATTTTTGAATTATTGTTGCTTATTTTTTTCTATGACATTTCCTGGAATCTCATGATAGATAAATGCTGTTCTTTTGGATGAAATAAAATGGCAATGAAAATGAGATAGAAATCAGAATTGCTAATTCCATTTCGTCTTCTTTCCGAATTTCAAATGAATTTTGTACACAAATTTTATTATAGGGAAAAATTCAGATGAAGAGCCAAAGGAATTTTTTCTGTTTTATTTTATTTTCAATTGTTTAACTAACTCAAGCTTTTGGGTTATTAATGACCGTATAAAAGAAACAGTTAAATTATCATCATTTTGACAAGACAAGAAGGCATAAGGTTAATTATTTTACATTTGATATTCCATAAAACTTATAATTGTTAGCTTTCATGACATTTTTAAAAATGAAAGTGAAGTGTTAGCAAGTGTTTATATGGATAAATTATACTCTAATTTATTTGTTATCGCTATGACCATTTGATTCCTTGACCTTATTGTAGTAATTCTATGAATCACTGGTTCATTGCAATCGTTATTTTTCAATTTTTTTATTATTCGAAGAATTATTAGAGCATAATTATCTGTATTAATTCTATTTTATTCTCTCTGCTTTACAGTTTATAAAATTAGAAATTCAAAGAAACAAAAAAAGCTTAACTTCCTGGAATTTTTTTTTCTTTCACTATAGATCATAAAATATCGCTTAAAAAAATAAGAAAAATAAAAGAATAGTAATCTCTATTATTACAATGATTGTCATTGTAATCTCCATCATACAATTACTGCTAAATTATTTTCCAATTTTTTTCGTGTTGCTAATTAATTTTCGCCTTACGTATGAAATTACAAGAGTATGTTTTTTGTCGCTTTTGTTTACAAGAAATATACATATATGGCTATATATACATTTCTAAAAGAAGGTATGTCTCATAATTCATTGAAAGAAATATTCAGATAAACTTATAAGAAATAAATATTAAAGAATCAAGAAATTAATTTCCAATACCATAGGATATTGATAGCATTACGTTGCTTGCATAGATAATTGCGATTCTTGTTATTAATTGATAATTACATAGATGATAATGGATGCCAATTGATATGACAGTTGTGATAGGCCTAGTGATATGGGTAACAGTTGTGATGGGCCTAGTAATATGGATAGCAGTTGTGATAGGTCTGGTGATATGGATAGCAGTTGTGATAGGTCTGGTGATATGGATAGCAGTTGTGATAGGTCTGGTGATATGGATAGCAGTTGTGATAGGTCTGGTGATATGGATAGCAGTTGTGATAGGTCTGGTGATATGGATAGCAGTTGTGATAGGTCTGGTGATATGGATAGCAGTTGTGATAGGTCTGGTGATATGGATAGCAGTTGTGATAGGTCTGGTGATATGGATGATAATTACGAGCGGCAAACTATTGCTATTATTTTGAATCTATATGACAAGTTCATTCGATAGTGAGTATTACTTCTACTGAATTATCATCTGCAATGTGCATGACTGTCATAAATTGCAATTATTATTATTAATTATGATATATCACTCGACCACATCTTTGGTACTTAATAAAAATTATTAATTAGAATCATTTTGGTTGGCCCAAATTAAATAAAGCAAATCTGCTTTAACTTGAACAGAATACATAATTATCCTTTTAAATCTGATTTTGCGAAATTGCTTCTTACAGACAGATATAACGGATGCATTTCACTTTTTTAAACTTCAAGTAATTAATAAATGACTCTGCCCAAGAAATATAATTTCATTCATTAGGAATGTTTAACCTATGGGTGAAATGTATCCAAGCATTCTAATATACTTTAAGTGACAAATTCGAATAATGTATTTTCTTTTTTCTCTTCTCTCTTTCCCTCTCCCTGCTCAAGAAGGGCAACAAAAATTTAAGTTCATCCTCTTACTTCTCTAAGACATTTGCAAAAAATAAAAAAATAGAAGTAAACTTCCTAGAAATATTTTTTTTCTTTACCTGAGAAAAGGTAGCAATATCGTGCTATGAATATCGGAAAATTTTTGATGACAAAATCAGATAAAACAATAGCAGAAAAAATCGATACCTCAAGTTGAGTTCCTGAAACAGAAAAGAAAAGTGAATCCCATAAAATTGATTGTTTCGCAGAATCTAATTTCTTTAAAGATATTCTGAAGGAGGACAGAATGCAGAAAATTTGCTTATCTGAAGAATAAAATTTTTTATTGAATTTTCTAAAAAGGAAAAATATGAGATGAGAAGAGCCATCCGAAGGACAAAAATTTCCACAGAATCTTTTAAAAGAAAACCTGGAAAAGTTGACTGTTCAAAAAATTCGGGAAAATTTTTATCGTTTTTTCTTACTTCCTGTTCTGGGATCATTCTTTTCATATGTGAATTTGGTTTGATGGATTGCTCAGTCAGTCGCAAATTCCACGTAATTGAAGCGTGGAAGGTTTTTAGTGTTATTGGAGTAAGCGTCCCATTGCTTATTTCAGGAGTTTTAATGCATACTCCATGGTTCAAGAGCTAAAGTTAAAATTCATTTTAGATTCTCAAACGATGACAATTTTGAAAAAGTTCGAGTCGAGTTCGGCACGAGTGAAAGGTAGTTTTTGGTAGAAAATATTTTCCATGCCTGAAAGCATGAAAGCGATAGCGGAAGAAAGATGGACAAAATTATTACCCATTCTTGTATTAAATTAAAATGAATAAATTATGACCATTACTGAATGTATTCTATTTTAGCCATTTTAATTACTCATTTTTATTTGAACTTTAAAATAAAAATAATATTTGAATTTTTATTTGGACTTTAAAGTAAAATAACATTGATCATTTTTTTCCCTATTATTATTAAGTTTTATTTTTTATTACTTGCCCTTTCAATGTTATATATCAAAGTTAAATTTCTTTCTCCCATCTTTTTTTTTTTTTTTTTTTGTATTTGACACGTAACTTTTTTAAACTGTGAATTTGTAATTCCGAATTGTGTGTTTGTAATTTATCTATTCAGGGATTTCATTCCATCCGACTCGGCCATGGGTTTTGGCATCACTGCATAGTGGTATCATTCAGTTATGGGATTATCGAATGTGTGTTATGTTGGATAAGTTTGACGAGCATGATGGTCCTGTACGTGGTATTGCATTTCATAGTCAGCAACCGATTTTCGTATCTGGCGGTGATGATTACAAAATTAAGGTAGATTTTATAGAAGTGATAATTTTTTGTTACTAATATTTTTTGTTTTTGAGAAGCAGAAATTTCAGAAGTCGTTGTTCTTTTGACAGACTTTATTTAGGAATGAAGTTTTTTTCAAATTTCTTTTTTTTTGCATCTTGAATATGTTTTTAATTGTAATATGGATTTTACTTGAAGATTAGAATTTTAGGTTTGGAATTACAAGCAGCGTCGTTGTATATTCACTTTACTCGGTCATCTTGACTATATCCGTACCACATTTTTTCACAGCAACTATCCATGGATTATTAGTGCATCGGATGATCAAACAGTACGAATTTGGAATTGGCAAAGTCGTCACAGTATTGCCATTTTGACTGGTAATGTATATATTACTATTTCGATCTCAGTTTAAAGTAATAAGAATAGAAAAAGTTGGTTATTAAATTGGGACATATTGTAATTTTACTATATTAGCAATTTGCAATCTCTTTTCTATGGATAACATTTGTACCTTTATACCGAAATTCGTACTTTACTAGGTCATAACCATTATGTGATGTGTGCGCAGTTTCATCCAACGGAGGATCTAGTGGCATCGGCTTCTCTAGACCAAACTGTTCGAATTTGGGACATATCTGGATTGCGAAAAAAGAATGTTTCACCAGGAAGTGGTAATGACATATCACGTGTACGTTCAATGAGTGGCGTAGCTAGTGGCGATTTGTTTGGACAACCCGATGTCGTGGTCAAACATGTTTTGGAAGGGCATGACAGAGGTATGCTGGAACGATTTCTTGCAGCTAAACGTTTTCATTTCTTATTTTCATTATTTAGAATCTCTTTTTGCATGAAACATTTGGTGGAAGTCTTTTTTACTCACGCAACCAATATTATGACTGGGATAATTATTACTAAATTACATAAGTTCTTTATTTTTTCTATCCATCAATACCGCAGATAATTTACACTGTCCAACAAGCAGAATGTTTGCTTCTAGGTTTGACCATTTTTAATTTAAAAAAATCGATTCAGGAGTTAATTGGGTTTCGTTCCATCCAACTATGCCACTTTTGGTATCCGGTGCAGACGATCGTCAAGTAAAATTATGGCGTTATAATGAAAGCAAAGCTTGGGAGGTTAGCTTATTCTCATATTTTAAGTTTTAGGTTGATTGGTTTTTTAGGTTTGTAAAGCTTATCAAAGATGGAAAAAATTGATCTTTATATCCATGATATGTTTCTACAGGTGGATTCATGCCGAGGGCATTACAATAACGTATCATCAGTACTGTTCCATGCAAAAGCAGAATTGATATTGAGTAATTCCGAAGACAAAAGTATTCGTGTTTGGGACATGCAAAAACGCACATGCTTACATACGTTTAGGTATACTTTCAAAAATGAAGCTTAAAACAGTTTTGCCTTATATTAACTTTAATTTGCATAATTTTATGCATGGTCTGGGAATTGAAATCTAGTTATGAAAATTTCTGAAAGGAAGCAGTTTTTGAAAGTGTGACTGATTTTTAATGGCATAATTTACAGGCATGATAACGATCGATTTTGGGTTTTGGCTGCCCATCCAACACTGAATATGTTCGCAGCAGGTCATGATAGTGGAATGATGGTGTTCAAAATTGAACGTGAACGTCCAGCATATTCTGTACATGAAAATTTAGTGTTTTATGTAAAGGATCGTCAGCTGAGACGTTTGGATTTAACGAATAAGTGGGTTTTCAAAAAAAAAGTTTCATAGATGTGTGGGAAACATATCATATGTGTAGTACGTATATTATGTCTGGTAAAATATAGAAGAGACAATAAGAACATATGCGGAGAGATTTGCACGGGAATTATATTTGAGGAATATTTATTCAAAATTAAAATTAAATAGAGTGTTCAAAGTCTAAAGTTTTGGAGACCATAACTCGTTTCATACTGAGAAGTTTTCAGTAAAGATGTAGCATTAGTTCAACTTCGTGGCAGTAAACTTATGCAACCGTATTATTCATTGCATTACAATCCGGCTGAAAATTCATTCCTTTTGATTACACGCTCGCCTATGCTTGAATATTGTACATACGATATGTATAAGGTGAGTGTTAATATCAACTTTATTTTTCTTCCCTTCCTTTCTTGAATGTAATTATTGCTTTTGCATCAAATCTTTAGTGATATTATTATCATGGACTCAACACCATTACATACAACAACATAATCTTTCTTATACGCATTTTTTTTCCTTATGTCATCTTATATCTTTACAGACATGCAAAATCAAAAAAAAAAAAAAAAATAGTTAAAATAACCTACTACAGGTATCAAAAGATGCATCCGATAGTAGTGGTGAGGCTTCGGAAGGTAAGCGTTCTCCGGGTGTGGCTGCGATCTGGGTAGCACGCAATCGTTTTGCTGTCCTGGACAAAAATCAGCAAGTTTGTCTAAACGACCAATATATTTAATCTGTAGTATTAAAGTTAAAAGGTGTTTCTTTCATATATTTACTATTTTTGGAATCAAGTTTATCATTTCAGATTACAATCAGAGATTTGTCAAATCGTGAAAATCGAAAGATTGAACAGAGCGTTCCAATTGATGATATTTTCTATGCTGGAACTGGACTTTTGCTTCTGAAAAATAGCGAAGGTATTCAGCTATTTGATATCCAACAAAAGCGCACTCTGGCTTCAGCAAAGGTTCCTAAGGTTGGTCAAGGTTGCTAAAACTGCACGAAATTGCACAATTCAATGGGGAAATTCAAATTTGCAAAGAAAAAATTCCTCCTTAATTCCGAAATGACTGTCGCAAAATGATAGTACTATTCAAGTTTTTTTAATGAAAAATTATTAGGCAAGTCTTGTCGTAAGCTCAGTTTCTTTAATCATAAATAATTCAGTCTAATCATATGTTTTACAATTAACTGAATTTATTGCTCGATTTAGAAGTGCTCGATTCTGATTGCTTGCAATGTATATGTACACTCAAATTATAGGTGAAATATGTGATTTGGTCGAAGAATTTGGAATATGCAGCTTTACTTAGCAAGCATACTTTAACTTTGGTGTCACGTAAATTACAAGTAATTACTGACGTTTTTTACCTTGAAACTTATATTAATTTTCAATTATTTTTCATATTTATTTTTTTTCATATATTAATTTGCAATTATCTTGAAGCTCGTAAGAATTTTTAAAAATTCAATACTACTGAAAGATAACTCTAAGCATTTTTAGTTAGATTGATGTGTATTATGCAGTATATCGCAATATGACTTTCAGATTTTATGCACAGTGCAAGAGTCAACTCGTTTAAAAAGCGGTGCTTGGGAAGAAGAAGGTGTTTTCCTCTACACTACCAGTAATCATATCAAATATGCATTAGTAGTAGGTGATCACGGCATAATTAGAACGTTGGATGTACCGGTATATGTGCTTGCAGTTCGTGGTGAAAATTTGTATTGCTTGAATCGGTAGGTCTTTGTTTCTTTATTTTTAGAAATCTTCAAAAAATATTCGACATTTTTTTTTATGAAAGTTTTTTTGCGTTGTCAATGCAGATTTTGATTGAAGGAAAAGTTGATGAAAGGAAAAACTGAATTAGTTTAAGAGATATAAGGTTTGCTGAAAGCAGAACAAGGAATGAGAAGGATAAAGCAAGAAATGTTACATAAATTTTATGCAGGAGATTTCGAAATTTTTATATTTTCAGCGAAGCTGCACCAGTCGAAGTACCTATTGATCCAACAGAGTACCGATTTAAATTAGCGTTGATAAATCGTCGTTATGATGAGGTTACTAGAATTCAATTAAATATTAATGATGACCAAGAATTAAAAAAAGTTATTTGTTTTAAAATTTGGTACTGCTGTTGAGAAATGCGTACTTACGAAATAAGCTTTATAATTATACATAACATTTATACTAGAGCTTTTCACTAAATGTTTACTTCAGGTATTAAATATGGTGCGCTCGGCAAATCTAGTTGGTCAGTCAATTATAGCATATTTGCAGAAGAAAGGTTATCCGGAAGTTGCCCTACATTTTGTGAAAGATGAAAAAACTCGATTTGGCTTAGCGCTTGAATGTGGTAATCTTGAGGTGCATTTTAAAATAGAGTGACTTTCAACGAAAATCTCTAGAAAATATACAGAAGACGAAGAAATTAGGAAATAAAGTACTAAAAAAGATTAAGAGGAGATGAAGTTAAATAAGACAGAAGTGAGCTATTGCTGTGATAATGATTGGCCCTAATGATTTTCTAATTTAGGTTGCTCTTGAATCAGCTAAAGTACTCGATGATAAGGCAGTTTGGCAGGCTCTTGCTGAAGCTGCCTTAATACAGGGTAATCATCAGGTAACTGAAAGCTTAAATTTATCTCTTTTTGAATACAAAGATTTCTAATATTTATCTGAAAGGGTACAGTTTTTGTGTCAAGAACTAGATATGCGTATTACTAGAAATTATGCGGTTGCTTTGGAAATCTCAAATTTTGTGGAAACTTGCAATTTTCATTATTTCCGATTTTTTACAGATTGTCGAAATGGCATATCAGCGCACAAAAGATTTCGAAAAACTTTCATTTCTGTACTTAATCACTGGTAATATGGAGAAACTGCAAAAAATGATGAAAATTGCGCAAATTCGCAAAGTATGGATCATTTTCAAAATAAAATTATGGAAAGCAAATTGATCCTACATGGATTTAATCAACCATCAAGAATTGGGTTTTATCATAGAAACATTTAGAATTTCGTAATTCTAAAGAGCGCATGCTTTATATAACTGCATAGTTATAATTGTTTTTTCATATTGATATTTTTACTCGGTCATTTTTGCTCATCCTTACATAATTTATAAAAATAATTTGAATATCACCGTAACTGTAGGTCTGTCTCATATGACTATTTAAAATCTGAACAAGTCTAAAGATTAGACTATCTAATAAGAAAATATCTTGCATAAGTGCTGAACAAGTTCTGTTTGGTTAGCATCTGAGATTTTAATTACCTTTTTTTACCTTGTTATCACATCCAGTTTATTGAAAATGATATTTTAAGGATATAAGTGGACATTATCAAACCGCACTTCTTCTTGGTGATGTTGGCGAGCGTATTAAAAGTATGGTTCATTATTTCCACCAGTGGTGAATAGTTGGGAAAATATTTGGGAATTTCATGAACTTTTCGAAAGCCAAAACTATTATTATTTTTAAATTCCAAAGACTGGTTTTAGTTTTGAAAGATGTTGGACAGATTTCTTTGGCATATCTGACTGCGGCAACACATGGATTCAGCGAAGAAGCTAAACAGTTGGAAGAGGAACTTTTAGCAAGAGGACAAAACTTACCACCAGTTGATCCGAATGCTCGCTTGTTGATTCCACCACCACCAATCAAGCAGGTTTGTGTCCGATTTTTTTGTTTATGAGTTTTCTGATAATTTTTAAATCATATTTCATGTTTAATCTGACTCATTTCTCAAAGAATTTCTTGTTCCTATATTAAATGTATCATTTTTCCACTTGAGAAATTAGTTTTTTTTTAGTTATATATGTTTCATTTACCATAATATAATTCTTATTTGAGATGGAGGATAACTGGCCGTTGCTGACGATGCTACGTGGTCCGTTTGATGCACATCTTATCACAGGAAATCTAGCAAGTGTTGGTGATAAAGCATCTCGAGCAGCTGCTGCATTTGCACACGCCAATGATGACGTTGATTTGGTGAGAAATATTTGCTAAATTCTGGTTTAATTTCCAATTGTATTGAGGAGGTGACTTTTTAAAATAGGTCTGAAGTTTTCTTTGTTTTGTTCAAAAAAGGCAAATTTTGCTTGATGTTTAAAGTTAATCGGGTTTTCAGGCTGGTGATGCTTGGGGCAGTGATGACATAATGTTGGATGAGGAAGGTAATCCGGATATCGATGAAGATGAAATGCACAGCGTTGCAAGTGAGAAAGACGATAAAGAAAGTGGCTGGGATGTAAGTGCTGATTTTGTTTTCCCTCAGTGTACATTCAAATTAAGGTTGGAACGGACATATAATTATCAAGCTGTGTTTTCGTTTTTTATTAGAAATTGTTTATTATGTCATGCATATCTAAATATATATTTAACTATATTAGTTGGTCGGAGCGGGTAATCCGACATAAAGGGGATGACTTGAGGCTGTGCAGTGCTTCAATAAGACTGTCGTTATCAATGCAGCAGATGTTTTTATGATGCGTTTAAGTTTTTTGTTATTGCAATTCTAGGTAGATGATGATCTAGCTCTCCCGGCCGATGTTGACATAAAATCTGGAGGAGGTAATGACAATTTTTATACGGCACCATCACGTGGACAGCCACCGTCAGTTTATTGGCCAAACAATTCCAGGTGATAAGAATAAGTCTTTTCCTCTCAGATTCGTTTTGTCTCAGAGTTGCAGTAATATGTGGAATGATGAATATCTGCTATTTGCATGACTCAGGCACTTTTTACCATTAAATGCTTCACATTTCTTTATCCATTTTCTACAGTTCACTATTATTTTAATTATTTATTGGTATTTGCAATGAGATAGGTTTTCACTCATTAAATGCGTTTTAGGTTGGTTGCAGATCACGTTGCGTCAGGTGCTTTTGATAGTGCTGCACGGTTGTTACGTGATCAGCTTGGTATTACCCACATTGAACCGTTCAAACAACTTTTTTTAACGGCTTATGCAAGGTTAGTTAGCAATATGATGGTTATTCTGTTGAAATGTCATTGAAGTTCAGTTTATTTTGTGCAGTCTAACATATATAAATTTATTTTGTCAGAGGGTGCAGTTAATTTCCAAATAACGAATATGATGGAGGCGATTATATGCAATGTTAAAGTAACTTTTCAGGAATGATGTGCGTTGATAATTTTATTCCAGATCACGCGCCACATATGAAGGTCTACCAAGTGCTGGTCCAAACTTTGTTTATCGGTTGCGTAACTGGCAAGATGGTGGTGGTCGAAGTGGATTACCAGCTGTTAACTTACAACTTAGCGATTTAGCTACACGTCTTCAAACGTGCTATCATCTTACAACCAGTGGTAAATTCAGTGAAGCTGTTGAGAAGTTACGTCAGCTATTGCTCTCTGTTCCGTTACTGGTTGTGGATTCAAAGCAAGAAGTTGGTTGCCATTCCTTTCTTTGCACTTCACATGATCTTATCTGTGTTTGTAACAATTTAATTATTCATTTTTGAAGAACTTGCAAATAAAATATTTTAGATCATATAGTGTTTGTAGAGAGTTTTTTCTCTTTTTATTTTAGTTCCAAATATTTTAGAAAAAAGTCTTTCTGGAGTTTTGCAGATGGCAGAAGCTCAGCAACTAGTTGATATTTGCCGTGAATATTTGGTGGGTTTATTGATGGAAATCGCACGAAAAGATTTACCAAAAGTAGTTGAAAATGCAAAACGAAATGCTGAAATGGCTGCATATTTTACACACTGTCAACTTCAGCCGGTATATTTTTTTCGAATGGCTATCAGTTTGTTCATTAAATAACATTAGCTTAATGATAGTGGGTGAAGAATATGCGAAATAAATTGTGTTTCAATCTTTAGTGTTCAATTTTTTCACGACCCAAATACCGCAAAATAAATATTCAGAAGCAAAATATTATTGAATGAGAAATGGAGGGTAGTAGAATAAATTGGAAAATGGGAGCTGCGTTTCCGGACGCAAAAACTGAGTAACACCTTGACTAAGTAAATAAGATGTGGGCTATATCGACTTTTTCTAGTTAAAAAAAGATTTAGTTTGAATTGCTTGAGTGGGGATGCTTCAGAATAGAAGGCAAGTCTTTCCGCATTCAATGACTAAAAAGGGCATTAAATGATAAATTAGTCACTGTACTCAGTGTTATCTCACGTAAATTTTTGATTATTTTCAAATTGCGATTTTTTTTGTAACTTTGTGGAATGCAGCTTTGTTCCAGGTACATCAAATATTAACGCTTCGAACAGCGGTGAATTTATTTTTTAAGCTGAAGCAAATGAAAACTTGTGCATCCTTCTGTAAACGTTTGTTGGAATTAGGTAAGTTGTCAAAAGTTTTTTAAAAAAAAGACGAAAGTTTTGTTTCATTTCTTTCAGCTTTACTTTGTTCCAGTATTTTTTTTTTGTCGTTTGTAGGACCGAAAGCAGAAGTTGCTGCACAAATACGGAAGGTATTGGCAGTTGCTGAAAAAGAACCAAATGACACGCATGAGGTTTTTCTTTGTTTGGAATAAATTTTCTTGTACAAAATTGAATAAATTCTATAGAAAAAGCTTTGTCAAAAATTGATATGAGCTTCATCTCGGCTGACGTTACGTGATTTATGTTTCAGTTTACTATATTTTCTGTTTGTTACGGGTAAGACTTTTTGTAAAGGAATTTGTGACTAAGGTAATGTGGAACGCATACATAGTAATTGATTGGACAGTTTTTTTTTTTTTCTTTTTTCTTTCAAGTACTGGGTAATGATATTTTATGTTTGATCAATATATTTAAGGTTTTTTCAAGAATTAATGCTCATATATATATAAATAATTATTATGTTTTCACAAGCACTAATACCTAATACATTTATGGTTTGCAGCTACAATACGACGAACACAATCCATTTGTTGTTTGCTCGAGAAAATTCAAACCTTTGTATCGTGGAAAGCCTCAGGTTGTCTTTTAGGAATTTTTTTTTTTTTTGTGTAGAAGTCGTTTAATAGTTTTTGGGAAAATGGTAAAAGAAAAATAGTAATGCAACACTTTATCTGTGCAACATTTTAGATCTTATGGGTTATATAATTCGTAATGTAAATTGAAGTAACGGTTATTTAATAAGCATCCTTGGAAGATGGATATTTAATTCGGATTGGGTAAGCAGTAGACTGCGGGCAGGAATTGGTGTACATTGAATATACGATATTGTTATTTGCTGATGTGAAAGTCAAATCATTAAGTTTCGGTGCAAGTCTACCTTTATTTTTTCATTTACCTATCCTTTCAGGTAAAATGTCCGTTCTGTGGTGCATCATACTCACCTGATATTACTGGTGATATATGTGATGTTTGTCAAGTAGCTGAAGTAGGTCGTGATGCAACTGGTTTGAAAATTTGCACTATTCAAAGTGGCCGATAAGAATTTCCCAATTTTTCATCTATGACTTTTGAGGCAATACAATATACTTTCATATATTTAGGTTTTTGCTATCACAAGCTAATGGAAGGATTTTGAGGAAGTAGGAATAAAAGAAAAGATCGAAATCTTCTTCCTTCTTCTTTGTAAAATGAGAAAAGGAGCAGTAAAATAGTCGATTTACTTGAACTGCATTTCATTCGGAGTTCTTAAATTAAAAATTTTGAAATTGAGAAAGACTTCATGTGCATTCCCATTGTTTCTTATGACTGGTGATGGATTCTTTGAGCCGCATTTATTCGTTTATTAAATCGTTCGTTATAAATATATTATAATTGTTATATTCTGTGATAAACACTCTCTTTTGAACATTTTTTTTTAAATAAATTTTTTATACATCACAATTTTAACATAATCATCACTTGTATCATGAAATCAGGGTGCAAACTAATCATTAGTAAAGCAACACAGAGGTTTCCGTGATATCGGTGACAGTTTTTACTATGAATTAGCATAATATGTTAGCATTAACAAATAATGTTGCACATAATGCTGATAATGATAATGATTGTTTATTTCACATATGGTATTTAATTCTTATTTTCTTAATTTTTTTTTTTTATCATCTAGGGAAATCTTTGAAATCTAGCGAAAGCAGCACGAAAAAAATCTAAGCAAAATTTTTTTTAGAAGCTTCTTTTATCATCTGGGGAAATCTTTAAATTTAATAGCGAGAGAAAACGATGAAGAAAAAACCAAATATTTTTATAATCCTATCCTTTTATCCTTTTTCTTTTCGATTAATAATAGATTGTGTAAAGAGTAGAACTAAAAGCCACCATTTCAAATTGCTAGTATTATCTGGCAATGATAGATGTTGGAATTATTACCTATGGTTTATACCTTTTTTCTTTTTTCAAATTACTTTTTTTTTTTTTTTTCAAAAATTACCATACTGAAATTGTGGAGATATAAATGAATATAATCATTTACTCCAAAACTAAGCCATTATGAATTGTACCCAATTAGAGCTGCATGTTAAGATGAATTCGGAACTCTCTTTTAAACTACCTAAATTATGATTGAATATAAGCATTTAACATGTAACTCCAATAAGTTAAGAACAGAACTCGGTATTCTATATAAATTCAACATTATAGTATCCATACAGAAAGAAGAAATCACTTTTAAGATCGTCTTTATTTTATGCAAACATATCATAATGCTATTTTATTATTCATAAATTGTTAGATGCGCAATAAGCACAATTAGCTAAAATGTTTAGATGTACTTATGATTTTTGTTTTTTCTCGCCCACCCCTTTACCACTACTATTTAAAGTGATAGAAAAATTTAATCTATCCAAAATGTTATTTCTTCCTTTTTTTTTTTTTTTTTTGATGTAAAAATACGATAATTTGCATTCAACTCATTTCTTTGTGTACTTTGAAAAGACTTTTTTTTTAATCGAATGTAATGTTTTACCTTTTGTATTGGAGCGTTTTTTTTTTTTGGCAAAAGCAAAAGGAAAGATTAGCATAATTTAATAAGAAAAAAACTGCTAAACGAAAATTAATCACTAAATTCAGTATTAAAAATTAATAACTGAATTTAATATGATTATTAAAAAATCAATATTGCTTTAAATTTAATCTCATTTGAACACCATTTAGCATATTTTTCTGAATGAAAAAATTTTACAAATTGTTACAAATCCTGGAATTATTTTCTGAATTTTGCCTGGAATTTGTTTTGAAGTTTTGACGGTATTGATTATTAAAAATTATAAAAATCTTAACTTGTTTGAAATTTGCATTGTTATCAGATATTTGAGCACTTTTGGATATTATATCATTTATGATATTGTTATCATTATTGGATCGATCGGTTTACTTATTTGCTCGGAATATTACAATAACTGATCAATAATGTGACAAATAATCGATTATTATTGCAATAGAATATTTAATATAACTAATATTTGCTTAGCTAATTGTCGTATATATGTATTTTTTGATACTCAAAACATTTCATGTTTTCGATTAACTGTTATCACAGGTGCCGATAATTTGTTCAATTTTTTAAAAATATTTTGAAAACAAAATATTTATGCACGAACAAGCATTAAATTAAATTAAATTGAACTCCAATAATTAATAGACTAAATGTTTCAGTGCAATAATGAAATTATCAGAAAGAGTGTAGTGTAAGTCTAGAATGAAAATAACGCTAAGAAAAAATGCGATAATTAAAGTTTCGAGAACTTCGAGAAATTGTAAGCTCTACTGGCGAACAACGGCAGAATAGTTTGTCTTGATGAGAAAAATAAAAAAATTTCTATTAATTTTGCATGACTATTTAAAAATGAGAAAGTAAATAAGTATTTACCATCATTATTTATTATTATTATTATTTCTATTATTACTATCATCGTTATTAATTAATTGCTCAATTTATTTATTTATTTTTCCTGCCAAATTTTTGGGAAAATTTATGCGATAAGAACGTTTTACAAATGAGAATTTTCTATTTTATCCAGATTAGAATAAGATCGCCATTGATAAGCATATTAGACTTAATGATAATTGGCCGAGACAAAAGAATCACTGTAAATAATCTTTTCTTGGCCGAATTCAAACTTTGTAAAAAGCTTATAAAACTTCTAAATTAATTTCTATTTGCTATCTCTTTTTTAAATTTCAGTACAAAAAATATTCAACTTTATTTGAAGTTTCACACAAATATTCATTATACAGTGAATTAATGAATTTCATTTACTGTTTTTGCAAATTAACTTATTTATCTTTTAAATCTATCTATTTATTTTTCGTGAGCCCTCGAATAGCTAAAAATTCTAAAAATAAATTTCAGGTCTTAACAATAACAATTTTAATAGTCTCTAAGCAGAAGTCTCTTTATTTTTCATAGCTTCTCCGAATATTAATCTTTCCTCTGTAATTTTTCTTTTAAAGAATTTCGTTTTATTGAAAAGTTTTAGTAGTTCAATTACATTCGTTTATCTTTTTTCTGATTATAGAAAAAAAATGAAGAAAACCAATTTTTGATAGTTATTCTTTTGTAAATTGGTTTCATTTTTTTTTTCTTTCGTTTGAGCAAAATTTTGAATTTTTATTTAATTAGAAAATGCATTTTTGCAGAATTATTTTGCTATCAAAGAACTTTTGGTTAGCATGAGTTAAATTTTTTTATTGAACACTGAATATACTTTTGAGTTTTTTTTATTGAATTTTGTTTGAAACTTCTGATATTAATTCAAGAAGTTGTATTGAATAAAAATAATACTGAAATCCCCAAAAGAAAATGAAACTGACACTGAATTTCAAAATATCAAAATTCAAGCTCAAATTAATGTCGAATTTCAGAAGAAAGAAAGCAAAAATCAAAAATATTACTCAGATTTATGTTTTAAAAAATTTTGAAAATTTTTAGAGATTTATTTTTAATAATAGTCTTTACTAGCAATAAAAAAGAAGAATTAACAAAGCCTAATCAATATTCAATGTTCTAACTGCTCTATAATCTTATTTCTCATCTTTTCTAGATCTTGAAATTAACCCAGCTATCATAATATTGAATTTTCTATCCTCACTGGACAATGGAATTTCAATTATCAATAAAAAATTCATTTTAAATTGATAGATTGTTCCAGTCTATCAAATATTCAATGAATGATTATTTGCTTTTTCCAGAAATGTTCATCGCAAATAACATTAACAAAGAATGATTTTGAGATTTATACTAAGTGGTTGAATAACTTTTTTTTTCTTCAAAATGTTTGAGAATTCCAATTCTCAATTCTCAATTTCCTCTAATTTGGCAAAAAGAAAAATAAAAAAGTATGCTTTTAAGCATTTAAAAAGAAAATATAAGCAGTGAAAAATTCATTCATTCATTCATTCAATTTTTCATGCTAATAATTTCAGCTAAAAAAAGGCGCAGAAAATTCCACCTTTAACAATTTATAGTACTACCAAAACAATTCATCGTCATTCCATTTATTTCTATGTTTTGAATTTTGCAATTCTCTTCCATTAGAGAATACAAAGATGAACGAAGCAAAAATATGAAAGATAGAGACGAAAATTTTCTGTTTTGAAATATTTCGTTTTGGTTTATAAGAATAATGAAAATTTGATAACAAATTAGTTTTGCTTTGCTTTGTTTAAATTGCTATTTAAGCATAAAAGAGAAATTCTTTCTCCCTTAATTTTCTTTAATTTTTTTTTTTTTTTATTTTGTTTTGACTTGAAATTATCCCTTAAATGAATAAATCAAAAAGAAATAACTGAAATTTTAAGCAAAGTGAGACTTTTTCATTTTCAAAATTTGATTTGATGATGAATTAATTTACAAAAGTATAAGAAATAAGTCCAATTTATATCAAATAACAATGAGTAATGAAGTTCAGTTCCTCTCAAGTAACAATTGCTAATATCGAACTTCAAACTGTCCAATTTAAGTCACAGATAGAATGAATAAAGCTGAAAAAAGATGATACAAAAAAGCAATGCTTAAATGACATTGAAATAATATTTTTTATTATAATTATATTGTCCATTCATTTTTAGAAATGCAACTGATATGATTAGAATTAGATCTGAAAACAAGAAAAAAAGGAAAACTGATAAAATGACTTTTCTTCATAAATTATCATTTTATTGTGCTTTTATAAAAACTTATACTAACTTTTCTTAGACCTTTGTGCATACTTAATTTCATTTTTTCCTTTTTATTCAGCACATCAAATACTTAAAATCAACTTTTGCAAAACAAGGTGAATGTGAAAAAAGAAAGAAATAAAGAATCATAGAACACATTTCACTAGCAAAGTGTATATCATCTATTTCAAATTTCTCGAGGAGAAAATTTAAAAAGAAATATAAATGGACAGTTTTGGCGTTTCTTTCTTGTGATCGTTGTTTTTATTAATGAGAACAAATTACTGCTTTTGTAAATTTGTGATTTATGAATTTTCATCCAAATATTTCTGCTTAAATTCTATTTCTAGTAGTATATTATATTGTTAAAAATTAGTTATAAATGTGAAATTATGGATGTAATTCTACATTAATAATTGATCGCAGATATACAAATTATAAAGAAATATATTTTTGCAAATAGAAAGGAATTAGAAATTTTTTAACTTAATGATACGTTCAGTTAAAATTAGTTATTAAAGTAGTTTAACGACTATTTCTTTACTCAAAGATGGCTTTTATTTCAGAATTATTTGAATTTAATTCATCAACAGCTGTGCTGCAAAAAGCATTGTCTATAAGAAGAAAAAAATGCAACAAATCAGACCATTTTTCAAAACGTAAATTTGAAATTTCAGATTTTGAAATCAAAGAAAAATAAGAAACTTTTTTTTTTAATTTTACAAATTACAAAATTAATACACCAATCAATCATTTGTTCATTAGAAGTCTCTCATTTTAATTATTTCTAAGTTTAGCACCTATTTAGTTATTTCTAAGTTTAGCACCTATTTAGTTCACATTAGAGACGGAAAGAAAAATGAATGATCACCATTTGTACATTGATTAGCAGTTTCAGAAGTTTTTAAAATTTAAAAATTTGCAGCGTACAGAAAAGCATTAACTTTGGAATAAAAATTACAACTACTCGAAAGATTAATCATAAATTTTCTTTGTTATCATTTATGAATTGGAATTCATTAAAACTTTATTTTATGTTCCATGGTTTATAAAGTTTTTTTTTTTTCGAATTGTGCTATTTTAACAAGACTTTTAGCACTGACAATTTAATAACCTTAGCATGTTGAAGTTTAAGTAAGTGCAAACTAGTTTATCATATTAGACTGAAATAATAATCACTTCAATTTGTTTATTCACTTTAAATTAAGCGATTTTGCTCAAAGTTATGATAGAACTTTATTTATGCAAATATTAGCATAGCAAATTTTTGGTGAATGGACTAGCAAAGTTAATGCTAATAAATTATTTAACAAATTGAATATTTAGTAAAACAAATCCTTCTCTATTCTATCATTTTTACAATTTATAATGTAAACATTTCAGTTCAATCATTACCACAAAGCATATTATTCTTCAAACAAATTTTCAACAAAGAATTAAACTCTGAAATTCAAGAAAATTCTACTCATTTTCTTTTGCTAAATTTTTATCGCAAGTTCCAACAAATAATGGTTCAGAAAAAAACTGAAAAAATAAAAACTCTGTTGGAAAATTAAAATCCCAAAAAAATTATTTTTTTAAATATATTTTTTTCAATTAAGATCGTTTCAACAATGTGAAAATTTTTGTTAAATCTAAAAAAGAATAGCAAAAAGAATAGAAAGATGCAAATTTATTTAACATTAATTTTTGCAAATTTAAAGAAAGCAAATAGGAAAGGAATGATATCATATTATTGGACAGACAGTCACATTTATGAATTTCACGAATAAATTTGTATTCGAATCTATTTATTATGGAAGATACTAGCATTTCTGATAAGCCACTGAGAAAGTTAAATCGTTCACTTTGCTGATTAACAGTAGATAATTTTTGAAGTTTGACTTGAACAAATCGAAAGATTACAGTTGTTTACTTGTAAATTAGATTTATTTAAATTAGAAAATGCATGATATAATTTTGCATTTGAAGGTCACAATGAAAAAATTCTTCAATCATTGGTTTGTTTTACTTAACATCAAACAATCACAAAATTTTACAAACTTAATTTTTCACTCTCTAATTAATTTAACAATTAATTATACTAATACTTGAAATAAGTACTGACAATTTTTGTCATGGATAAATATCATATGATCGAATTTTTCCGGTCTGAGAGTAACGTTACTTTTTTCTACTTAACCTTATTTTTTCAGGTATTAATTACAGTTTGCTACTGAAATCCAAAATTTCTTTTTTTTTTTTTTTTTTTTTTTTTTCAGGAAACCTTAGAACGAATTGTTACAAAAGCAATTAATTTATCTTTCTTTTCTCCATGTGGTCATTGCTCATATTAGTTGTTACTTTGTGTTTCACACATTCTTCATTTGGCAGTTCAGTTAGTTTTTATAATTTTTTAACGATAAATATAACAAATTATTATTTTTGGTGATTTCGTTTTTCATTCTTTCTTTTTATCATAAGCATTTTAAACAAATTTTATTCATTATTTTATCCAAAAAGAAACAGAAGGAAATATTTTGCTGCTAATCTGCTGAATATTCTTTAAAAATTCTATTTTCAAAAAATAACTCTTCAAAGTCTTATTTTATTTCCAATAACAAACTGAAACTTTTCAATAAAATATATTAAAATTTTAAGAATATAAATGGTGTGATAATTTTTACTACTACACTTTGTTTTTTGTTTTTTTTTTCTTCCTTTGTGCTAATGCTATATTTTAATAAATTAATTGAAGAGGGTAAAAGGCATTTTTACGGATTTGTAGGTTTCAAAATATTATTTTCAAAATCTTTTCTAAGTTTTTTCCATCAACAACATCAATCATTGAAATGACACTGATCGGATGATGAAAACAAAAGGAATTGGCATTTGATAAGAGCAAATGAGATTTTAATACTTTCAGACATCACACTGTAAATCAAGTGATGATCCAAACACTGATTGTATTGGAGCATATTTCGTTCAAACTGATGGAAAGTCTGTTCATAACAAATTTTGTCTAAAAGAATTAAAAATTTCAAATTTGTAAGAAAATAAAGTAAAGAAATTAGACTTTTCTCTGATAAAAACTTAACACAGCAGTGCAAATATTAACGATAATATATCATATATCAATTTTAGAATGTATTCTGACTTGATAAAATAGACAAGACTGTTTGGTTTCAATAGTTCACATTAGCTGGCTTAGGCTTATAGAAAAAAAATTTGAGATTTTAGTTAATATTTTTTTTTCTTCAAGTCTTTGCTTATAAAATTTGAATTTTGAAAAATTTTAAAGTTTTTAAAAATTTTTTTTCTTGGAAAAATTGGGAGTATTTTACATTTCTGGACAAAAATTGAAATTTAAAATCATTTGAATTGAGTTTTCTTCCAGTATGACTAAAAATTGTTCCAGAATACAGCAATGTATCGAGCATAAAGATTGCTATGACTATCGGGAACCAATACTTTGGTGTCGACCTAATCCTGAACAAAAATGGATGTGAATTTTTATAGATCCTCAAATGAAATTATGACGCAAATAAATTTTTTTTTTGTTACTTCGGTGAATCAACAAATAATTGTTTTAAAATCTTTGATTATTTGTAAGCATTTATATAAAATGTATGCAAGCATTATAATGAGCAAAATAATTCTTTAAAGTAGCTATTGCTCTAAAAGATTTCAGAATTTTCTATTCTAAAAGTTGAAATTTTGTTTTTTTTTTTTTTGCTTACAAATAATCAAGTGATATTTTAATTCAAACAGTTATTTGAATTGAATATTATAATATATATACTTTGTTTTTTTTTTTTTTTTTTTGAATTTATGTTATTTAATAATTATTCAAATAATTATATAAATAATTTGTTTGCAGGAAAGATGGTTGTCATTGTGATTTAAAACTTCATTCATGCATAATTAATCGTCAATCATACGGTCGTTTGGAATACACTCATTGTCGTTCAGCGTTCAATTGGTACTGTCCTTAATAAATTATTTCATCTTTTCATCTATGAAACCTCAAAAAATACTGCCAAATAATAGTCTTTTTTAAATTATTCCAATTGTCATTGTATTCAAATTCAAATTATTCATACCATTTCCCATTATTTTAATATTTATTCCATTGTTTCTTTCTTTATTTCGTAATAAATATTTCATGAATTTGCAAATAGAGAAAAAATACTTTCAAACAAAGACATAATTCTGATGTAGATTTTATAATTTCTCTAAAATTTAAACATAATTTCTAGAAAAAAACATTTTAACATTTTTTTTTTTAATATTCAAAGTTTTCACTATTATTCATTCCACCTTCCTTTGAATATTCAAGGAAGGATTCATTCATTCATTCATTCACATCGAGATTGAGTCGAGATCGAACATTCATTCATATCGAGATTGAAGTATAGTAGTTGCATTGTGTGAACTTTTTGCAACTGATAAGTCAATTAAATTCAAATTTTATTCATTCATGCATACTTTGAACTTTTATTATGACAACAGAAATTTATTTGAAATAAATATATAAGTATGATTTTTTTTGCCATTTCTCATTTGACTGAATCAAACACATTAATATGAAACTTTTTTTTTTTTAAACTGGTTAAGTAAATCATTTTAAGCTTTCTATTTCAGCATTTTCTTTAATTATAACATTCAGTTGCTTTGAATTGACAAAAAAAAAAAAAAAAAAAAAACCAACCCTATAAAGTTGTAAAAAGGTTTATTAAACTGCAAGTAATATAATTGTATTTCATGAATCCTATGTTCACTTTATTCCAATTTAATTTCCAGTCATATACATCTTAGATTTACTTAGCAGCGATTATTTATCAGTAAATGAAAATGATTTTTTTCTCGAATAATGAAAAAATTATCAGTAAATTATCATTTAGTAAAATCAATAAAAGAGATGCTTAACAATAATGCAACGATGATCAAATGATGATCAAATTTGTAAGATCGAAATGATTTGATTGTATTAATATTATTTTCAATTAAATTTCAATATGTTTTAGAGTTTTGCATACATTCAGCAGGAATAAAGTTAAAATGTTTTTTGAAATGTTTAAAAAATTAAAAAGCAAAAATAAGTGTTGAAGATAGGATGAAATTGGTTAATATAAATGCTAAATTCAATTTAATAATTCCGGATAAAATGTATTGTTCGAAAGCATGACAAACAAAATTGGATTGATATTATCATCACAAAAGCTAATTAATTACAAGGATAATATTAGAAAGCAAACAAAGATTTCTACCAATCTGAAATTTTAATTTGAAAGAATTAACAAGCTTAATTTCGAATGATGCCAAAAAAGCGAAAATTTTATGAATAGCTCTTTTGTTACATCTGGATTTCTTAAGCCTTAACAAGTGCTAATAAAACAGTTGGGATTAGCTCGGATTGCTTGAATAAAACAGTTCTTTCAAATGAAGAAATATTTTTGGATTATAATGACAAGGTTTAAAAAAGTTATGAAAAAAGACTGAAAGTTTAGAGCATTATAATGTGTAACCATGCAAGTTGGCAGTTAATTATTGTTAATTATTTTAAGAAGTGATTCAGTAGTAGGAAGACGGTGTAAGTGAGCCTTCACTACATGAAGAGAAGTGTGCTCAACAAATTAAAACTGAAGCGATTTAATGATAGCAAATCGACACCACATTAAAAAAATTCCCATTTAATCATTGTTTGTTTCGATGTGTTAATCAGTGTGTTTAAAAAAAAAATTCCAGATGAAATCGAACTGATAATTAAAAGAGTAATTTTCACTGATAAAAAAATCAATAATCGTTTCACTTTGCTGTAAATTCTCTTGAAATAACGAATATTTAAGTAAAGAAACTACTCGCAGCAATTTTGTACGATAATAAACAATGATGAAAGTTAGTTTTTTTTGTGAACAATAATATGATCATCCTTTAATGGTATTTTATTAATGAAATTTAGTTATGTGTATATTTTAATTAGATTAGAAGCGATGACATTGGTACGTTACGTAAAGCAGACAACTTCGTTCTCATTTCCTGTTGAGATGGAAACATTACTGAAATTTACCATAAAGTATACCAAACTGCGACGTACAAAGCGCTATTCCATTTCACATTTATTAAAATCTCACTAACACTTACGCAAAAATTTCCGAACTTTTTAGCACTTAAATGATTCTTAGAAAAAAAAAAAAAAAAAATAAATAGTTGGATGAAATTTATGTATTTTTAAAAGGTGGACATTCCCACAATTCTTTCCAGGTACAGAGTGCATAGTTCCGGATCACAGTTATCGGACCGAGTTTAGTTATCCGTTCAATGATGCATGCTTTCACGACCGAATCACAATAGCACCCTTTGTCACTAAATAAAATTTAACTAATTTTTCATTTGATTTGACATAATTATTATTTAATTTGAAGTGGAAACGGAATATTTGTTGAGATGGATAAATGGGCAAATCATATCAAACATTCAGTTAAGAAAAATTATTAAAGAAATTTGAGCCCAAAAGACATTTCAAATTATTCGTTTTTTGATAGCACAAGAAAGAAGGATAAAAAGTGTGTTACAACTTTTCTAAATGGGAAAAATCTTATCTATTGAATTAAAGTAAATTTTTTTTTTTTGATTTTTGTTTAAATTTGAATATTGCAATAACTAACGTCCAGTCTTGAATTTCGGCCAAGCGACACCAAAAAATTGGCTCTCGCATATTGTAACAATCAGCATTGGAAGTGCACGACTCTAATCTAAAATAAATGTTTGAAATTTTTTAAAGCGTTAAAAATTTGAAAAACTTTTATTATATACTTTAACTGTAAGCATAAATGTTTGGCAGTGGCATGAAAAATGCTTACATTCCATCGGTGTTTATGAATGTTGCACCGTAATAATTTGCTGGCATCTCATTATCAGGACTGAATGTGACAGCCTACAATGCTTCTGTCTCATTCGATATGAAGAATCAGAGGGAAAGAGGGAGAGAGAGAATGAGAAATATCAATTAAAAATTTTACGCTTTTTCTTTTAAAATGTAAGTTTCAAACTTATTAGCAAGCCAACAATACTTCTTTAATGATATTTATCGATAAATTAACTATTGTAACTTACCATATTGATTTTTCGCAATGCAGCAATGAGAAGACAGAGGCTAAAGACAAGTAGAAATTGGAATAGAATTTTCATAGAACCTATAATTTGAGAATTTATGTTAATTTTCTTTCTGTTAACGAAAATATTCATTCACATAATTAGTTAGTTCGTGTAGCAATAGTGTACATTCGAAATATTTGAACTATTTGTTTTTCTTTTTATCTTTTTTTATTTTGTACGATTGTGAAATGACGAGTCTTTAAAACTTATATTACCAGAAATTGTGAATAAATTATTTTAAGTACAAAGCGGAATAAATGGTATTTGTGCTTACCAATCAATGTAACATAACTTACCTTTGACAATCTCTGCTAACAGTCACTGAAAACATTTCTGATTGACGGCTCCTTAAATCTTTTTTATGCAACAACAACACTGCAATAACATTGCAGCACTTTTATTATATTTATGGAATATTCTTTTATATTATATCAGTCAACTTCACGTGCCATACATATAACTGAGGATAAGCAAATAAATAAATAAATTGTAAAACCTTTCAAAAGATGACAAATTTTACTCCAAATAAGACTATTCCTGACTCTCTTTCTTTTGGATACTGGAATCCATTGCTGAATTTTTGTCAAAAGTATCTACAAAACAAAAACTTTAATTGTGTGCAGGTATCGTGTGCGATTATTTGTGTTTCAAAAACTTTACTGACTTTTTATGGATTGAAATCTTTTCAACGAAAATTATTCATCTAAAACTAAATCAACCAGAACTAAATTTACGTTTTGAAAACTTTTTAAATTGATAGTTTTTTAAATTTGTCTTAAGCATGAATTATCAATCCTTATTTATCATTTTACCAACAACTTTCATGCAAGTAAAATCAACAAATTGAAATTCATATAAAACAAAAAAATTTTATGTAGAATGAAAAGACTGAAATTCATGCATGTTCAATTTTATGTTTTTGAAGAATAAATTGATTCAAAGTTACAAATCTTCGAAATGCTGAATGTAAAAAATAAATTTCACCGTTTTCATATTTATCTCGAGATTGTTAAAAAATTTGATATCATTATTTTTATTTCTTTACTTTCCAATAAAATGAGGTGGATCAAATAAACCTACTAATGATTTCTTTCTATATTTCTATCCTTGGTTATCTTCTTCATCAACTATATATAAGTCATTTTAACATTTGTCCCAAAATTTGCTATTCTTTTAAGCAAAGATGAATATTTGGCACAATGAATTTTCAAATATTTCATTATTTCAGATACATAGCTAATATTTTTGATTTCAATCATTTTAATTAATATTTTCGGATTTTCTTAAACGTTTCAACGACATGAAAAAATTACCTTTCTTAATTTCATAAAATTGTTATTGTCATATCTGACTGATAAAAGACTTGAAATGTACACTGATTAAGTTGGCTTTTTCGTTGAACTTCGAAAGCTTTCTTCCTTTTTTGTTTTTACACTCTAGTGATCTGTAATAAATAAAAATTGAAAAATCAACAATAAAAGGGCAAAAGTAAACTTCAATTCTGATTTCGAATTCCAATGCTTTTTCAACGTGAAAATCTGCTGACAAATACTAATGTAAATTTATAAGCTGAAGACTTGAGGAATTGACCGAAAACTAATATCGGAATATGTCAAAAGTTAGCTTAAACAGAATTTCATCTAAATTCATCAAATTTTGTTTTTTAAAGGTAAACATACACAAGAAGCAATAAACTTATGCACTAAGGATAGAATGAAAAAACCGTAAGCAGTTGATTCAATAATTTCTGGTTCTGGTTTAACTTATTTTAACGACAGTGACAAGATATATTATTAAATAGATTACAATTTCTTGAAAAAAGTGACTCAGAAATAGTTTGATATATTTTAAAATTTGTTGATTTTACAAAAATTTGAAATTCCCTTGTCTCTTAACAGTTACAGCTAATATTATGCAAATGAAAATGGTTTGAATACGAAATAATAATTCAAAAAATGTAATAAAACAGAAATTTTGCAATATTATAGCAATGTGAAAACGGCTAAAATTTTATACAGTTTGTCAATCAGAAACGTTTTCAGTATGTGTTAGAATCGATTATTCGAGGTACTAGAAAAAATGATTGTTTGAATGGTTTATTTTACTGGTCGTATCAAAATAATGTATTCAATTTTTGGTACCATCTGGTGAAAATAGTACTAAGATTGAAAAATTGAAGGTAAAGAATTCTTAATGTTCATCATTTCACAGCAGTGTGAAAAATGAGATAGATAAGTATTCCGATGGATCATATCTTTATTATGGAGCTAATTATGTGAACGTCTTATTTATTAGAAAGAAAATTAATACGAATACGAATTCTTAAATTACAGTTTCTATGAAAATCTTAATCGAACTTCTGCTTGTGTTCAGCTTAACCTTTCAGGTTACAAAATTGCAAATACTAAATTTGGTGAGTATTGAAATATAGCAATATTGATTGATTTTTATAACTGCAATTTATCAAAGGAGTATTTTTTGTTTGACAATTCATTGATATGATATTGCCGTTTAAGATTTATCTTTTAGAGACAGAAAGAATAAAATTTCCAATCAATGATCCTTTTCCTGAACGATTTATATGAAGTTTTTCAGGACAATACGTACAGTCTTGACAATAAAATGCCAAGAAATTATTACGGTGCAACATTCATAAACACTGATGGGATGTAAGCATTTTTCATGTCACTACCAAATCATTTATTCATTTAAGATATATTGTAAAAGTTTTCCATTTTATTCGAAACTTTGACAAAACTTCTGAAAACTTTTGAGCATTCATTTTAGACAGAAACTGTGTACCTCCCATGCTGACTGTTATGATATGCGGGAACCTATTTATTGGTGTCGCTTGAAAAGAAATCAGCATTGGACGTTAGTTGTTTGTATATAAATAGTTCAAAGTCAATGAAAAACAAGTTAGAAACAGATTAAATTTAAAATTTTCTTCAATTCCTGATAAGAATTATAGAAGAAGCTGTGAAATTTAATGAAATAATATTCAGAGAAAAGGGCTGTTATTGTGATTCAGTTCTGAGAGCATGCATTATTGAGCGGATGACTGATCTCGGTCCAGCGAGTAAAATCCGCAACTACGCATACTGTACACCGCGAGCTTTTTGGAATTGTCCACCTCTTCAATATCTATAAATTTCATCCAACTATTTATTTTTTTTTCTAAGAATCATTTAAGTGCTAAAAAGTTCGGAAATTTTTGCGTAAGTGTTAGTGAGATTTTAATAAATGTGAAATGGAATAGCGCTTTGTACGTCGCAGTTTGGTATACTTTATGGTAAATTTCAGTAATGTTTCCATCTCAACAGGAAATGAGAACGAAGTTGTCTGCTTTACGTAACGTACCAATGTCATCGCTTCTAATCTAATTAAAATATACACATCACTAAATTTCATTAATAAAATACCATTAAAGGATGATCATATTATTGTTCACAAAAAAAACTAACTTTCATCATTGTTTATTATCGTACAAAATTGCTGCGAGTAGTTTCTTTACTTAAATATTCGTTATTTCAAGAGAATTTACAGCAAAGTGAAACGATTATTGATTTTTTTATCAGTGAAAATTACTCTTTTAATTATCAGTTCGATTTCATCTGGAATTTTTTTTTAAACACACTGATTAACACATCGAAACAAACAATGATTAAATGGGAATTTTTTTAATGTGGTGTCGATTTGCTATCATTAAATCGCTTCAGTTTTAATTTGTTGAGCACACTTCTCTTCATGTAGTGAAGGCTCACTTACACCGTCTTCCTACTACTGAATCACTTCTTAAAATAATTAACAATAATTAACTGCCAACTTGCATGGTTACACATTATAATGCTCTAAACTTTCAGTCTTTTTTCATAACTTTTTTAAACCTTGTCATTATAATCCAAAAATATTTCTTCATTTGAAAGAACTGTTTTATTCAAGCAATCCGAGCTAATCCCAACTGTTTTATTAGCACTTGTTAAGGCTTAAGAAATCCAGATGTAACAAAAGAGTTATTCATAAAATTTTCGCTTTTTTGGCATCATTCGAAATTAAGCTTATTAATTCTTTCAAATTAAAATTTCAGATTGGTAGAAATCTTTGTTTGCTTTCTAATATTATCCTTGTAATTAATTAGCTTTTGTGATGATAATATCAATCCAATTTTGTTTGTCATGCTTTCGAACAATACAATTGTGAGATGTATTGACCATCAGAGTTCGTTTAAAAATTTTTGAATGCAGAATGGCTTCCATCATTGGATACATTAAATATATTGAAGTTCGAGTATGAATGCCTGCTGAATTTGAAAATATTGAACAGATAAACATAATGATAAATATATGCTAGTTATGGTGGATAAGTTTATCAGTATAATATTAGCTATACCACTATATACTTTTCCTATCAATATAATCTGTTTACTTTTATTAGATGAGGAAGGACAGCAATCAACAAAATTGCATTTGTTTTTTTCTGTCATTTTTAATAAATGAAATGACTTCTATTCCCTCCTGTAAATGCGCGATATCTATTGGTTGACCTCTTCAGAGATATGTTGTAATTGACCCCGAATAACAAAGTACGTTGTTGGTTGACCCCTTCATTCTATTTAAATTTAAATAGAAGTTACGAAATATGTGGTGGGAATCTATTTCAACAGTTTTAATTGTAACCGCAAATTAATGATTGAGCGCCAATTCGATCGATTATACATAAAATTGAATGCTTTTACTGTGAAAGAAAAAAATGAAACACTTCGGTACATTCTTTTGAAGGCATTTCATATACTTTAAAAGATAAATTTTTTGTGGTATGAAATTATAAAGAACAATTAAGTTGCAAACAACAGAATATTACCAAATATTGGTTTATTTAAATGGTTAAGAAGTATAATTTTTAAATTCAAATGATTCTTATTATCACTTAATTGCATCATTCTTATTTCTTTTTACTATTTATAGTGGTCATTTTGCTTCATTATATGCTGATGATAATTATAAAAAAATATATGAAGAGTGCAGGGGAATTTTTATTATATGCCAATAGATGGATCATAAATTATTTCTGTACGAATCGAAAACAGTGCAATATTCGCAGAGTATGCGACATTGAAATAAGTATGTAAGATAAATTCGTTAAAATTTTGAATAATTTTTGCGTAGTAAATTTTGAGTGACTCAACAAGATTGCTTCTAAGTTGCAATCAATTTGTGCAATCTCTTGCAATCGCAAATTATAAAATGTTTAGATTTTCTTTCTTTGTCGAAACAAAAACTTTTGGGAAGGAAAGTAACCGAAGCAGAGGTATCTTCAAAGAGACCCGCCCACACCTCAGTTAATCCATAAAACTGATGAAGTCAACAAAGAACACAGTGTTGATGAGGTCAATCAGAGCCTATTTAGAAGTATATAAACGCACTTTCACTCTTCAACTTGTCATTGTCAAAAAGATTGCATACAAAGTCGACATCGTCTTAATCTCTCTCCATTTATGCCCAAAAATTGCTTTCTTTTGAAATCTCTGAAGTAATATGGCGATCGCTTTAAATTATCTGTAGGACCTATTTCCCAAATTATTTTTATCACTATTTTCTGTTCAGTTAGAAATAAAACATAAAAGAATCATATACTTTATTTTTCAGTCCGTTGGAAACAATGAGTATTTCACTCAATTTTTCAAAATTTCAAAAAAGTATGGAGGAGCATCTCCGAGTAAGTTTATAGAATTAAATTTTTTTTTCTCTCTTCGACTTATTCCACTGTTATCATCTAAATTAATTTCTTAACCAATATACAAATCCATATGCATTGGAATTTCTGGAATGAAAATGTTTTTAAAACTTAGATTTCATTGTATGCTACATTATTGGTTTTCTCGGGCAATGAAATTCAAATGTAATATTAATCTTTCTAGCAGCAGAAAACTGAGTCTTCTCCGCAACAAATTGAAATGATACTCCAATCGGAGGAGGATTCCAGTTTAGTAACACGCCTTATAGCGGAACGGATTCGCTATGAGGAACAAAAACGGCAGCAGGAAATAGAATGCTCAACATTAGCTGCCGTAAGTTTCAGGTGAATAAAAGTTTTAGTCTAATTTCATCTATTTTGCAGTGTTTCAAAATCAAATTTCAGTCATTTGAATCTATTTCCATTATTTAGGATCCCCACTGAACTGATCGATTTATTGCTTGGAGTGGAGGATCAACGGGCGCTTCTAATAGCGTTCCAAACTGAAACAGAATTCATGTTACCACGCCGATTTCAGAGTTCCACGTTCACAATCAACGGATATGAGCATAATATCCGCAAAGCTTTGCGGATGATTGAGGAAATTATCAATGAAGAGTGTTGCAATTCACATTCACCAACTTATGCTTTTGTTCCTGATCCAAATGTGGTAGGAATTATTTGATTATATTCAAATATAATAGTTTTTAATGTTATTTTCCGTGACAGCTTGAATTAATTAATGAAGATTGTTCAGATCATTGATAAATTTTATAGGACGAAAGTGGAACCGATTTCATCCTGTGCAATGGACCAATTCATGAAGCAAGGTATAGGCCTGGAAGAGAGGGAATGCATCGAGGTTGAGGACGAAATGTATTTAAATAATAATTAAATTAAATGCTATATTTATATTGATTTGCTTATCTAGTATTTTGTGCATATTGAGCATCTGTACGTTATTTTTGAAAATTCATTGGTCACTCCACTTGTTACTTTATGCTTTGTGCAATATACAAAGTTGTTTTGTTTGATTTTTAAATGAACATTTTATTTTATTCAGAATTATTACATTTTAATAAATTTCATATAATTTACACTTTCTTTTGTAATGCAATGCTATAGCTGAATTACGACCGTTGTGTAAGCGATGATAATCTAAAATTGATAAAACTTACATGAAGACACCAAAATACAATACAGTGATACATTAATAAGATTAGATAAGATAATCTATTATTTGTTCGAGTAATTCGAGATTGCTACATCATTTAATGATTTAAAAGCAGAAGTTACATCTTCGTAGTCACATCGTTATAATTTAAGTTTTAAGTTTTTTTTTATAATTTATAAGCTATCATCATTGTGAAAAAGACAATATAAAATCTATTAATTTTATATTGTCTTTTTCAAACAGTAAAAATTTATTCTAAAAAGGTTTTAGAAAAATATATGTTTTAGTTACTTTAGTTATTTTCTTAAATATTTTAGTTAGATGATTACATATATATAATATAGTTATACACATTCTAAAATAATTTTTTTTATTAGATTTATTAAATGAGGAAGGACAGCAATCAACAAAATTGCATTTGTTTTTTTCTTCATTTTTAATAAATGACTTCTATTCCCTCCTGTAAATACGCGATATCTATTGGTTGACCTCTATTCCTTAGACTTCATTTTTTAAACGATAATAATCTAAAACTGATAAAACTTACATGAAGACACCAAAATACAATACAGTGATACATTAATAAGATTAGATAAGATTGTGTTTGCAGTTAGGATGTGATAAATGTTGAAAAGATTTTAACCTTTTTTTTTCCAACAATAAAAACAAAAAATAATGACTTTTAGATAAATACCAAGGACGACTTATTGTATCTAAGCGTTTAATGGAGATAGTACGAATGAATGCAAATTCATTTCAAATAGCTTACGAAAGATCACAAATTGTGAAATGAAAACACGCTTTAATGTAAATTCTTCATCGGTTGATTTATTACAATGGATATTTGAAAAGTTTAACATAATAATGATAACAAATTGCTGTGAGACTCATTTCATTTGGTAACAGAAACGTATGAAGTCAAAAAATAATAAAAATTTGAACTTGATAGCAGTATACAAACATTGAAAACTAAAAGTAAAATTCAGCAGCAAGAACTAATTAGGAATGAGTATTAAAAGTATAAATGTATATTTAATATTCAAGGAAGAAAATATTTGCAAGTTTTGAATCAACATTCGGTTTGCTTACAAATTAGAAACAAATCAGCAATTGATGAAATAAAATTTTCAATGAAAAAGGAAACCATCATACAGTAAATCTGAAATCATCACTGGAGATCACTACATCTATCACTTAATATATGATAGCAATCTCGATCGAATAACAAAACAAGTAATCGAAAAAAATTCCGCAGAAATAAAAGTATATATCTTCAAAAGTATATATCTTCATGAATGCGGGAGAATGCACGGAAATACTATCATGGATGTTCATTTTCGTCATTTTTTTTTCTTGTCATTTCTTTCTTAAATCAGAATTATAACAGAAGAAAGTATGGGATGTTTAATGATTAGCATAGTTAGTATTAGACTGTGCATACATTGGAACTTGGTATTTTTTCATAAAAAGTAAATAATGGTTACGTCACGTATTTTATACTTGCGGGATATTTGGTAAATTTGCTAATTTTATAGAATTATGGCTTCCATGGAAGATATCAAAATAGTTTTTGAGTACTTGAAACGGGAGCCAGAAATGTATCGAATTTTGCAACGATTTGTGAGCGAGACGCTTCAGGTATTTTTAATTTTGTTTTTCTTTTCCCTTCTTTCTTTTTTTCGTTTATTTTATGAATTGATGGCAGCATGAAGTAAGAGCTGCAGAACTTCTAATTGCTTAAATTTAAATCGTGAAATGTTAAAATCAGCCTTTTCAGTTCGAGCGCTCGCTCATAGAAGGTATGATGGAGGCAGGGCGGAGGTTGGAGGGATTGGTGGGGCAAAATGCCCACGAAGTAATGGAAGAGAATCCGGTGCCTCAGGAGCCGGAATTTGACGAAGAAGAAGCAGAGCGGACTCCTCTGCCTGAAAGTAGTGAAGAGGCCGAGAATTGGCCATGCGAAGCAGAGTGGACGCCTCTGCCATATGATGAAGAAGAGGAAGAAAATGAACCTGAGGCACCGGTGGCACCAATGGAGACGAGTGGCATCGGTTGAATCAGTTCGAGAACTCGTCCTGTAAGTTATGATTTTTGAAGCAACTATATAGTAAAGCAATAGAACAATTATTAGCATCATCTTTTAAGTAATTTGCATCAACTTTAAACCTATTCCAGACGCACGAGGACGATTCGCATCCCGGTTCTTGCCACGCAGGAAGAAATGGCTACGGCAGTACCGGAAGAATCCCGCTGATTTAGGGGATCTTCCGAATGGAGTTGCAAGTGCCGCAGGCGGAACCATACACGGTGACGCAAGGAGAAAGAAATAACAAAATCGGTAATGATTTATTGTTTCAATAACACTGAGAATGACTATATACCTGTTATTTATGAAAGGATATAATCATATTTTGACCTCATCCTAGTATAATCATGCTTGCGAATGAAATCACTTCATCCTTTATAATATTTATAATACACCAAAATAGTTGCAAAATTTCCATATCGATGTTTTAACAATAATTTATTGCAACGATATTTTTTAAATCATTTCTATTTTCAGTGTGCGGCTTCTGCGGTAGGCAGTTCGATACGCTGAAGGGGTGGCGCATTCACGCTTCTAGGATGCACAGGCAAGAAGGTAAGAATTTCGAAGTGAAATTTTCATTTTAGTTTTTAAAAATGTACCTGGATTTGATTCATCTAGGAAGCAACAAATTATTTTATATGCATATTCCAGGTTTTTGTGCTCGTTGTGGGCACAACCTCTTGCTGCCACCTGGATTTACGGCCGCACAGAGAACGGCAGCGGTGGAGCTTCATGCCCTTGATTGGTGGGTGCCCGAGGGCTTGTGCGGCCGTAATTGGCGAAAGACAGGTGAAGCGCAGATTGGATCTTGTGGGAAGAGAAGAGGATCATTTGTTCATTCCAGGTAATAAATTAGTAATATTGCAGAATTTAAGAGAAAAAGATCCAGATGTTATAAAAACAAAATACTCCTAAGGTAAATAGTTTATCTAATCATTAATCAGTAACTTTTTTTTCAGGCCAATAATAACAACAGGCTTTTCCCACGCGGCCAACCTGTCGCTGCCTGCCCCATCTCTCCAGTCTCTTCCACGAAATACGGCAAGTTGAGTTATTGGAATTGAATTAATAAAAAAAAAAAATAAAAAGCAAAAAAAATTAAAAAACAAAAAAAAAAAAACAAAAACATCAAAAAAATCAAAAAAAATAAAAAAAATTAAAAAAAACAAAAAAATAAAAAAAATCAAAAAAAAAAAATTAAAAAAAGGAAAAAGAATAAGAATTGAGAAAAAACAAAAAAATAAAAAACTAAAAAAATTTAAAAAAAAAAATTTGCTGTTAGAATAATTGTGATGTGAAAACAACTGAATTCAAAATATGGAAAATTTTGGGATTTTGTAATCATTTTATATTTTTATACAACATTTACAGTTTTTAGCGGCACTGTCAAAAAAAGGGATTTTTTTGCTATCACAAAATTGAATATTGTTAGCTTAACTCTTCGAATTCGGTTGTTTTTCTTTTTCATTTTTTTTTTTTTTTTTCAATTTTTTTACTAGCTTTGCTTTTCAATTTTACTAAATATTTATTGTTGCAATTTATTTATTTCTTTTGTAGTAATTTGTGTTTAATTTAGTGTTTCTAATGGTTTTGTACTTTTTACTAACAACTTTCATCTTTTTTGCTTCTTAATTTTCTCACAACTATTGTTTGTATTATTTATTTTCTTACTGCTGATTTTTTCGCTTCTTTAATATTGCTTAACTTATATGCTATATGTATTGGGTACCAGCTTCGATTTAATTTTGTATTTTTAACTTGCAGTAGATTCTTTAGTTTTATTAGTTACATTTACTCATGCTCCGTTATAAGATGTTTTCGTTTTTTAACCGTTAGATAGTTACACGCGCAAATTTCCATATTTGAATATATTTTTTAAGGCACTGAGTAATTTTCAAAACTTATTCCTTATGTTCAGATTTTTGGTTTAATGTTAGTGAGTTGAGAAATTTATGATATTATTGGTCAATTTAATAATGTCTTAATTTTTTATTTTAATATTTTTTGCGCTGATCACGAGTTGGTACCCAGCTTTTTAATTACGTTTTTGGTGGGGAAGATCGAAGAAAGGTACAGAATTATATTTGCTTATAATTTATGGGTAAAATGTGTGCTCATAAAATTCTGAGAGAGAATTTTCTGTAATCTAGAATAAATTTCCAAATCTATGATCATTTTTCTCAATATTTGAAATATTCTTTTAAATCAATAAAATATTGGGACTCTAAAAAATTTTTGGTAACTTCTCGAATTATTCGTTTTTTTTTTTCATTCATTAGATTAATTCATTTATCATTCATTAATTTTTTTTTTGACTAATCTCTTAATTTAATCTTATTTTATTTATGCTATTCCTTAGACTTCATTTTTTTCTTTGATCTTTTTTTATTCGATTTTTGATATAGTTTTTAGTTTACAATTTTTTGATTTTTCAATTTTTTTGATTTCATTTTTTAGTTCAACAATTGTATGTTTTTTTTTTTTTATTATCACTCTCACTTGCTGTTAGAAATTAATTGTAGTTTTCAAATCTTTCTTTTTTGATAACAATCATTTTTGTTTGTTTTTAAACTGTTGCATGCCCTTTATTAATTGTTCAAATATCTTTTTTACAACCTTACCAATTGCATGCTTTTTTTGTTAACAATTTCTCTTATTATTCTCATTCATTATTGGAGATTACTTTTGGTTGCTCTTAATTTACTGCATGTTTTAATTAGTCATGTCGTTTGTAACTTTAATAACTGCATGCTTTTTTTGTTACTCTGATTCGTATTTACGATCAGTTCTAGTTTTCGAATTTCTTTTTGTTAGCATTTTTTCACTCACTTTTGATTACTTTTAATTTACTGCATGTTCTTTATTAATTGTTAACTTTACTAATTGCATGCCTTTTTTGATTCTTTGATCCATGTTTTTTGTAGTCTACTTACACGCCTTTTTTGTTGGTTTCACTTGCTATTGGTAGCTCTTTTTTGTTAGCATTGTTTTGCATTTATTACGTTTGTTGCTTCTAGCTTATTGCGTGCTTTTATAGCACTACTTCTTTCTGCTGATGCATGCCTATTTTGTAATTCTACTAATTGCATGGCGTTTTTATTCATTTCACTTATTTACATTATTAGATAATATTTTATATAACTTGGATTTTCGAATTTTTCTTGTTGTCTTGATATTATGCTAATTTTAATTAATACAAAATTTTTTCTACTAGTTCTATTGATGTATTTATTTTATTAACTGTGCAGTTTTTGATTTTACTTTTTGTGTGATCTCTTCTAATATTTCTAACTTATTGCATGCTTTTTTTTTTTATATTTACTGCATGTTTTTTACTACTGCATCTTTATTTAACTTATCATTTCTGACTTGCATTTAATCCACAGTAAAGTTTTTCATATTTTTGCATGTTTTATACCTTTTTGTTATTTATTAAATAATCGTGTTTTATTAAATAGTGTTATTAATTTGTTGTATCACTTTGCTAATTTGTTTTCTGCATGCAATTTAATTTTATTTCTACTCAGTACCTTTTGATGTCATTCAATTTGCAGGTCAAATTTTTTAAACAAATTGCATCAAATGATTAGAAGGTAAGCTTTTTTGACATATTTTCAATCATAAAAAACCAAAAAAAGCTCTATTTATGAATTCTTCTTCTTTTAAATCTTTGAATTTGGGGTCGTTTTTGCTGCAAGTATAACTGAGATCTCGGTGAATAGTCGTGAGTTGGTGTTGTCATCGATCTTAGATTCAGCGAGGAGAATTCTTCTGACGCTTGGAATAATGTGGAGTATTAAAAAATATCAATTCATTAAAGAAAAAAAAAATATTTTCAACTTAATTGATCTTTTTATATGCATTGCATGGCACTGGTCACAAACGGTGTGGTCATTTGATAGATTAATAAACTTTTATAATTAAGTTTTTAACAATTTGGGTAGCGAAGTTAATAAAATTTTTTATTAGTTATGGTACTAATTCATTTTTACAGTTAAAATTAGTTTTAAATTCAAATTTAGATATTGATTTTTATAGAAAACCGTACAATTTGTGAAAGTTTTTGTATATTAAACAAGGAAAAAGGTTCTAATATTATCAAATTTTATATTTACAACTTAATTAATTATTTTATATGCATTTCTTGGGTACCGGTCATGTGCGGTTTGGTCATTTCACAGAAAAATAATAAAATGAACTTTAAGAAAAACTTAATTATTAAAGTTTTGAATAATAATTCAGTGGCGAAATTAATAAAATTTTTAATTAGTCATGGCTTTATTTCATCTTCATAATTATAACTAATTTTTTTTTTCAAATTTAAATGTTGATTTTTATGAAAATCCTACAAATTGTAAGATTTTTTGTATATTAAACTAGGAAATAGATTTTAGTATTATCAAATAATTAGGTGTTAAAACTATTAAAAAATGTCATTTCATTAAAAGCAATCGATATTTTCAATTTAATTGATTATTTTATATGTTAAAATATCTTGGATATAGTCATGCACGGTATAGTCATTTGACAGCTTAAATAATAAACTTTAATAATTATGTTTTGAATAATAGTTCAGTAATAAAATTAAAAAAATTTTTAATTAGTCATGGTTTTAATCCATTTTCACAATAAAAACTAATTTTTATTTCAGATTTAAATATTGATTTTTATGAAAATCCTACAATTTATAAGAGTTTTTGTATATTAAACTAGGAAATAAGTTCTAATATCAACATTGCGAGATTATGCAAAAATGTCAAATGAAATAGATGAGCTTTTTTTTTAATTTTTGTTCTCTTTAAAATAGAATTCGTTTTAATAACATGTTGCTTGTTTGTAATTAAGTGCACTTTTTCCTAATTGAAAATGCAATCATTTAACTCATTTCAAATTTATCAGTTAAAAAAATTATTATCAGTTGTTAATAGTTGTTTTATTGTTTGTAAGATTTGAAATTATTGAACATTTTCTTTTCACTATTTTTAATACTTAACATAAATACTTTCATAAATATTATGCATGGATTTTTCTAATGCATATTTATTAATTGACACATCTATTGATAACATAATCATTACTGCTATAAATTTTTCCATCCAACTAATTAATTAATTAATTTTATTTAAAAAATTTGCCTTCCTACATATACTGCTAAATGATGCCCAAACTGCTCATTTTAATATATACATATATAATGAATTTTGCTAATCATTATATGTGATCAGTGAATAATCAATTACATCTCCAATCCCTAACCTCGGATTATAATGAAAAATGAGAAATAGAATATACTCAAGAAAAAAAAAAAAACTTAGAAATAGCAGAAAAAAATCTCATATCTTTTGATCATTATTTCAATATAATACACATTCATTAACTAAAAGTATGGTTGTAGAACAGAAATAGTACAAATGAAAAAAGACTAGCCGAGAAAAACAATCCAAATAAATAAAAGTTAAAACAATTTCCTTTCATTCTTTAGTTATCTTTTAGAAAGAGAATATGACGAGATGTTATGTTTAAACAGCTAACATATGCAATAGTGTCAATTGTTTAAAAGAAAGTTCGAATAGAATTTTAAGGTTCATTCAGGGAATATGGCAAGTGGAAATTGAAAATGCAATTGGTAATTATCAATTACAAAGGTAAAAAAAAATTAATGAGCATATCACTGTAAGAAAAAAATCAGCAGAAAAAGAGAAAAAAACACTGAATTTAACCGAATGAGAATATTATCACAGAATAGGTAACAAATGCCTATGTTAGAGAGTTATACTTTTAGCTAAAATAAATATCTCATGAAATTGATTTATTTATTTATTGATTAAAGTATTTCAATAAAGAAATCAAGTTCGGAGTTGGACTGGGATATGAAAAAAAGTTCCAATATTACCAGAAATACTGAAATTATAGAAGCTGGAGCGACATTATAATTAAATGAATGAAACTAAATTATAATTGAAATATGAAAATCTAATACTACAAAAAAATATAGAAATAAATGATATTATAAAATATATTTTCAGATCGTTCAACTTTCAAATTCTGAATTCTCACACCTAATGTTTGAAAAATTACTTAAACTTTTATCAAGCAATACTTAGTAATGGCTTCTCTGATAATGATTATTTATTAGTATTCACGATACGTTTAACTTCATTTTGTCTTATTTATTTTTTACTTATTGATAATTGCAGAAACAAAGGAAACTTTTTAGAATCCCAAAATATATTGCATTGCTTATTAAACAATTGTTCAATAATATGTGGCAATATCACAAAATTATATTCACTAGGTTTTAGCAAATGTTGGAGATATCAGAAATTGAGATGAAAAAGAGAAAACTTTAATATTTCAAAGGGATTTATGAGGTATGCGACACGAAAAATTAACAACGAATATTCACTAATCAATTTCTGCTAATTTTAAAATCAAAGCTGATTGAATCGAGAGTTTTAGTCCATTTTCAATCGAGGTTTGTTTACAAATTCTTCACCATTGACAAATATGAATAACATCAATGCCATAAAAACTACAAACCAAAATATAGTTGCTGTCATATTTTCTGAAATTTAAATTTGCAAAGCTTAAAATCAGTAACCCTCCAACAGCTATTCATGATTTAAACCTTCTTTTTTCATTGCTATTATACATTTATATATAAACGCTTAAGCATACACACCTATAAAGTAACATTTGAATCAACATAAGCAATTCAAAAATATTTGAATTTGAATAAATCACAATATAGAATAGCTTATTCTTTTTCCTTTTTCTTTCTGAATTAGGAATTACCTAGTGATAATTCAATCACACTTTAAAAAATAGTTATAACTTTAATTTTCAACCTTTAACTTTAATGGGAGAGATTAATTTCAATTTTTTTAATTATTATTTTTTTTGGAATCCATACATACAGGTTCAATTTTGATTATTATTTTTTGGAATCATTCGAATTGAGAATTCATAGACGATAATCATATTTGCAAATGCTTACCTGCTACTAATATACAAAGAATAATCATTGCAGCTGCAAAAATTGCACCGACAATAGCACCACCATGATAATCAAAACTGAGCACTGTAGTTTCAAAAGTGGCTGGCAAATTGCTTGGATCAACCCGAAAATTACCAAGAAAAAGATTGATTGCATCCTGAAATATTCCCTACCAAATTATGTTTCGACAAATAGCAATGAAATCTCATTTTGTTACTGTACAAAACTTTTGATATCCATATGACATAAATTAGGAAACAGCACAAAGCCTAGAAATATTCAAAGTAACCTGTCTGTAACCATCCGCAAAATTGTTACGAAAATAACGTGTGAAAGCATTTATGCAATCATTCCATGCTCCCGAAAAAGTTCGCTTACCAAAACGTGTATAATCAGCCTATAAAAAAGAAAAAAAATCAGGTAATAAACTACTTAAAAAAAAATCAACAAGTCACATTAATTACATGAAAACATAGTTGACAAAAGATTTACTGCATTATTAATGTAAATAAGAATGAATAAAAAACTAATATTACAACCATTATATTATATTCAATTGCTACATGTCAAAGATAAATTCATCAAAAGGATTGCATCAAATTTTTCTTTCATTCAATAAATAAACCATTAAACCTTTAGTGCACCTGTTCCTGCATACTGACGACTGCATTCATCACCATTATCAGCCCAAACTATAAAACAATACTGATAAATTTCAGTTGATAATACATCAGGTCACATATTTATGCATAACATCCAGTAAAGCGCTTACTCCTTTTAAAAGTAGCAGATAACTCTGGATAACTGTCCACTTCAAAACCATTACCAATAATCTTCATATAAGATAATTGATCTTTTAGTGATTCCTCAAATGCATTTGAGATGATTACAATCAAAAGATAAATGCTTGAAAACGACTATCATTTCAATTCTTTTCAAAATAAAATTGCTAGCGTTGTATGAATATTCTTGCATTCAGATAAGAATGAGATAGCTAAGCTAACGTTAGTATAATTACCTCAGCAATATGAATCATCCTCTCACATATATATGAAAATATGTTCAGTAATCATAGTTTCGAAACATATCATATATGGGATAATATTCCAAGGGACAAGAACCAATCAATGGCATCAACTTGACCAGAAAATTAAACCAATAAGAAAGTTTAAAAAGAATAAAAAATTATTTTAGCATAGAATACCTTAGCCAACATTGATTGAGCAACATTAGTTCTATCTAAACAATCCATACAATTTGTACGGAAAAAACCTTTTTGTTTGTGCATGTGTTCTGTAGAGTTTAAAAATGATGAGAAAAATCTGCAAAGAAGTACTATTTAAACTATGTTAAGTTGAAATTTTTATAGATAATTGTTTCTTTCTTTCAACTATTTTGATCCATTGGTTTAAGTTTCTAGCTTCTTGAATATAAAATCTTAATGCACTGAAATGTGAAATGATGCTCTTTCTATGAATTACAAAATAGCATTGCCATGAATGATAATTTTTAATTAGTAGTGACAGACATACCCAAATTCTGTAATTTCGCTTCTAAGTTGTTTTTTGAGCATATCCAATCGACCCCAATCTAATGTGCGACATTCTTTGTGGAAATCAAACGCGTTGAGCCTAAAAAAAAAAAAGAAAAAAAAAAAATAATAATAATAATGTTATTAAATATAAAATCAAAGCATCAAATATTAATACCTGAAATAAACCATTCCACTTCAATTCTTTCTCTGATTTACCTTTCTTTACTTCTGTAAGTGCATCTTATATCGATTTACCTGACGAAGTCTAGATTTGTACGTAAAACAACTCGATCAAGCTCTCCACCAACACGTTTTTCACGTCCTTTCTGATTTACCAAATTTACAATTACCTAAAAGAAGGGTAGTGAATTTACAGTTTGGCAAAATAAATTTTCCGAGTCGGGTACATTCAGTATTTTCTTAAGTCATCGAAAAATTTCCTAGCTTTCATATTTTTACATTCATTTCAATAAGATTAAAAATAGCTTATGCTATTGATCAGTTTAAATTCCACGTATGCTATTATGTATACAAATTTGAAATGCCCCATATTCATAACGCCAATTTCTTTTTCCTTTTTCTTTTTTTTGCTATTCGGTAAAAGTTATTACTACAGTTTTAACTGCATATAATAGTACAAACAAAATCTCAATCTACTCGATACTTGTCGAATCTATAAATACTTAAATAATTACTATTTTGCTCTATCCAAATTTAAGCAATATCAATAGATTAACTCTTTTATCAAACAAAACTACTATTAAGAAGTTGAAAAAAATTATTCATGAAACTACTAGCATGTTTTCCTCCATAAATATTCCGTTGCATTATCATATGTCGTTTAAAAGCTTCCGTTTGATCATCAATTGGATTTAGCAACGGTTCAGGTTGCCAATGAAGATTTGGTCTCTGGGACCAAAATAATGGTATTGATCCTCTTATCTATAAATTGTATATATTTTACATTCTAAAAATTAGGACTTCCCAAAAAAAAAAAAAAAAAAAAAAAAAAAAAATGAAATTTTAAAGAAAAAAAAAGAAAAGAAGTACCCATTGCTAATAGCAAATTTAATTAACAAAATTTTTGTAAAATTTTCTATGCTAACCTGTACAAATGATGTTAAGCAACGTTGTTTCGGATCACTATCCTTATCATATTCCACCAATTGTTCAGTTTCTACATAGTTTGCTGAATGTCCAATAGTACTGACGCCACGCATATAAAATCTTGTACCTGCTCTAAAATTTTTTAATCTTCAATTACATTTAAGAACATTGTTTTAACATCCACAAACAAATCATTTAATGGACATAAAATTTTGTGCTGCTTTAAACATTTTTTCAATAACATTTCAAGATCTAACAAAATTTGATTTCCTATGCACAAGTTGAGAAATTCAATATTCATTTGCTGTAATGGGACATTCGAGAGAGAGAGAGAGAGAGAGAGAGAGAGAGAGAGAGAGATAAATTCTATTGCAATTTCTTAGAATGAACAGCTCAAATTTAGATATTTCATATAATTGTAAGATTCGAAGAAAAAAATTTATTTCATATTTATATTCAAATCACTGAAAGACCTTTTGAAAGTAACTGTCAAATTATGTGTTCCTTTAAGCAAAATACTTTCAGGTATGACAACAGTACAGCAGCAATAATTACGAATCCTATTTTGCAGTCATGAATATATCAAAAAGAACATCAACATTAAATGAAAATAATTCAAACCTATAAATAGATCTCCGAGAAATAAGACAAAGTTGGAAAATATGACCATTAACAATACAACGACTTATATCAAAAAAACCATGTATTATAGGAAGCACGTATCGAAATAATTCGGGAATAGCTGTAAGAGGAGCTGACAAATATCGATTCCACACAAAACGTTCATCCGACTAAAAATGCATAAAAAAATAAAAGATAAAAAACAAAATTTCAAAAACAAAACACCATTTATTCTATGTAATGCATACTTTAGGAGACAACAAAATTCAAATAGTACTTTTCCTTAGTTTCTATTGAACTTAATCGCTAAATATTCGATGTAGTGCAGCTACGAAGAAGCACAACCACGATACGGCACATGCTTCAGACCAAATATAGCAAAAAAATTACAATCCCTACAAAAAGGCAAATTTCATGATTAAATTTAAAAACAGGGAATATCTGTTCAAGACAATAATAATAAAGAAGCAGAAACAACGAACTCGGCCCATCATTGGAAGTCTTTTGAATAGAGGTGTAGCATTTTCTGCTAACCATTGTGCTGAATGTGACAAATCAAAAGTGCGTGAGAAATAAAATCCACCAGTTGATAATACAAGTTGGATCATATCAGTAAAATGTCGATTATACCAAATCTGCAATGCCACTATTTTATTTAAAATTACTTACTTCAACTTTTTTTGTGCCCTCATATGCAATGAGGGAAAAAAATCATTTATTTTTGAACTATGTCACTTTAAAATCTATGAAATTTCATTTTTATATTTGTGATACAACTTTTTCATTATTAATTCTAATCATATTTAAGCATTTAGAAATAAGAAAAGTTAAAGGAAATAAGTAACCTGTTTTTCTGTTAGATGTAATGCTGTCTTTTCATACGGTATAATTTCCGTTTCAGTTATCGTCCATATTTCATGACCAGTTAAAACACCTTTAAGATTAGCTTTGGTTATAGTTATCAAAGCATTACCTGAAAAAAAATATATTTCATAAAATGTAATTTCAGGATAGAACTACAGTAAAATCTCTATTTTTTCGCTAAAAAAAATAAATATTTAAATAAACACAAAAGCTAATCAAAATATGTTACTTCACATTTGTGCATATAAATCATAAAATAATAAAACAGTAACAGTCAAAATACATAACAAACCTGATACAAGCTTAATGATGCCAACAATTCCATGAATAACTTTTACTTCAGCATCATGTATAAGTATTGGCTTATCGTTATTTCCTACATAAATACGATGATTTATTTTCAAAGAATATGAAGAGAAAGAACACCGGGAATGTAGTAAGTTAATAATTTTATACATAACGAATGAAAACGAACTGACTTATCAAACCAAGCTTTCCCGTATTACGATCAATTTCTAAATACGTATCTGAAACTAATCCACCGTCTCGTCCTCTTGGTTCCAAACAAAATCTCTCCGGAAATATACATCTAAATGAACATATGTAAAATGAAAAAAAAGTTTAAATAAGAAAACTTTTACTTATCAAAAAAATTAAGTTTGATTAAAAAATATGAATACAGCAGTTCATTCAAATTAATTACTATAAGTTTTTTTTATGCTATCATGAATAATCATTCCTTCACTGATATTTATCAATAATTACAGCATAATTATACTGCAATTATAGTGGTTATTTGCAGTTTGACATCGAAAATACATTTACAACTATGAAATAAACGTTAACAAATATCTGTAATAATGTAATGATTCAGGAAGTCTTAAGTAATGAAAGAAAAATAACTAAAAATATTTCCAAAAAGCTTACAAATTAAGCTGCTCATAAATCTCTGTTGGTCCATCCATAGGCTTCAAATGATCAAATCGTGATTTAATTGGTCCCGGAAAATAAAATATGTTCATAAATATTCTTTACTATTCTACATTAATCATTAATAAATATTATAAATATGAATGAGCAATAAACAATAATGAAAGATTTATTTAAATTACATAATAATTAGAAATTAAAAATTTACTATCCATCGAATTTTTGCAAAAATTTGCTGATATTAAAAATTAATTATTATTAACATTATACCATAAACTTTACCATAATTATAGCATAAATTTTTTTATTCTTCCTTTGTTTATTTGTTTTCTTTCTCTCTTCCTGCAATAAATATTAAGTTAGAAACAATTTATAAGCTAAAAAAAATTTTTTTCCTCATACCATCAAGTCACAATTTGAAATTACTCATTCAAAAAAGAGGAAAAATCTTTCCTCAATATATAAAACAAAAAAAAAAAAAAAAAACCCTGCACAATTCATCAGTAATATTTCAGTAATTCATACAATTATTACTTAAATTTTCGTTGCATTTATAATTTCAACAATTTACTTAAATATTTAACTAAAGCGTAGCGCAATTTCACGCAACAACGTAGACTGATAAATGCTTTTAATCGCAATTTAGTCAATAACCTAACCAGTTGACAATTTTACAAGCAATTTATTCCTATGTTTATTGATTAAATTGCTTCAGCATCCTTTTTTTCTCTTTTTTTCTGAACGAATCATTTCTTATCATCAATTATTTTCTTTCTTATCATTAAATTTTCTTTCTTTTCTTTTTTTATCTATTTAAAAAAATCTCAAATGTTAAAAAATTTTCAACATTCTTTAACATTCTATTTCTTATATATTTTATATCTAATACGTATGTATTTTTACATGCGTATTTTTACGTAAATTTGTTTTACGTATGTATTTTTACGCTGTTTACATATTGGTTACGTATATTAGTACGTGTGTTAATTTCTTTCGCATAACAATTGATTATAAAATGAAAACAACAAAGCAAGAAGAAAAGTGTTTGAAAGAAATTTATTTCATTGATATTTTTATCATATTATCGATTAAATTGCAGTATTTTTTTTTTCTTTTTTTTTATTTCATAAATAGAAATGTTAAAGGATGTTGAAGTTTTACTTACGTAATTGTTAAAATTATAAATTGCAATGAAGATTTAATTGATATATTTTAATTTGAGTTCAAAGGTCATACGTTTATTTAAATGCTCGCTTATGTTCCTCTAAATTCTCTCGTAACATTTTTCTAATCTGATGAGTGAAAGAAGAGATGTTAGGGTTTATAGTATGGAATATTGTCATGAAATTAAGATATTTTCAGGTAGTAGTGTAGTGTAATTGAACTAATTCCTGATTTATTCACGAAGGAATTTATAGAGAAAAAAGAATTTTATTACAGAATGACAGAAGTACGTGAAATACCATCCGGAACGTATAATCTAAAATTTGGCGAATCATTCCATGAACGAGGAGAAAAACCTATCTATCATACACTTCAATGTAAGTTATTCCAACTATTAATTAATTAGTATATTCAAGTATTTTATTAGTATTAATGTAAAAATCAATGAAATATAGTGGAAAATTTACATTTAATTGTCAAAAAGCAAAGAATATGTAACATTCTATAACATTTTTTTAATGTAATTAAAACAATAAATAGGATAATCGAACACGAATGGATTGTACTTATATCCAAATCAAAAAGTTTTTCTTGTTCTCTTGAATAATTAAAAAAAGAAAAATATGTTTGCAGTTGATTTCAAGCCAAAATCATTAGCCGGAGAAAAAGAAACATTCATAGTATTTGGTGGAAATGGTGATGTACAGGTTGTTTTTTTTTTTTCTCATTTTATTTTGGTGACTTTTTTCTTTTGAAATCTTTTGAAGAAAAAAAATTTTTTTTTCAAAATTTTGAAGTAAAGTAATACTGCGATGAATTTAACAGTATCAAATACTAAATAACAATGTTCCTAGTTATATTTTCTTGTGAGATTTTCACCTCTCAAACGCACTTTTTTTTTGGAATTGAAGGAAAAAATTTTGTGAATATATTTGATGTGCCACTTGTTTTCTTTTCTATTTACAGGTAGCAGTACCAGGTGAAGGTGATGCTTTAACGGTATTTAAAGGAGCACAAAAGCCAGTGAAAGGGGAGAAAGAATGTTTGTTGTTTTTTGATCACTTGACCGGTGAGATGAGAATTGAAAAGCTTTCATCTATAATGTCTGTAAAGAAAACAAGGTATCATTTTCCTGTGTTGTTAAAATGATCAAATTTAAATTTGCCTAAAAATCAAAATATTTTACCATATTACATAGTAATTGTAATAGATAGTAATATTTAGGCAATTATGATAGTTAAAATATTTTTTAGAAGTTACAGTTATTTTAAGAAAATTTCATCACTTGTTTAGAAGTGATAGCGAGATTGCCTAAAAGTTTAATCAGTGAATTAATCTAATAACGTTGCGCAATAATTTGTCGTGCTGCTACTACATGCATTGATATTTCAATGAGAAATTATAATATTGAGACTCATTTTTTGTTTTGTTTAAAGATCGAATGATCAACTATGCTCATTTCTGTGATTGTTGAATCAAAATGCTTTTTTTTTTTTTATTTTTAAAATTACTTCAATACAGCTTATTAAAGGAACAGTTTAAAATAAAATTGGTTGCAAAAGCATTTTGATACGAAAAAAAAAGCTTCCAGAGCTTCTGGACATTATTAAAAATGGAAATTTTTTTGGAATTAATCATTTATCATAGCAGTGTCGTTAATTAATACATAAATTTGATTGAGGATGTTTTATATCAGGCTAGTTATAGTAGTATATTCCAGGGGTAACGAAGATAGTGCTTCGGTAAGATTACGATCCGAAATTGAACGATTACGGAAAGAAAGTGGCGAAAAGTCAGATGATGAAATGGATGATACTAAGGTTTATTTCTTGACTTCATTTTCATAATTTTGTTAGCTTGCTTAATAGTTATATTAAACTTCAATAAATACCTGTAATAAGTTCACATTTTATTGAATTTATGACTTTTGCTTTTTTTCTTCGAATCTTTCCAAAGAAAATATTATTAGAACAAGCAAAGGTTAACGAAATAACACGACGATTAGTTTTTTTTTATTGCATTCTTTTCGGTTTGTTGGCACTATTAGTTTTGTGTTTTTAGAGTTCAAGTGGTTCATCCGCCGTATCATCTGAATCGGGTGATTCAGATTCAGAATGTGACGACGGAGATAGGAAATCAGCATCTGTGGTATCAAAAAGTATGCGCAGTAGTGATGATTCTAGAAGTAGGAGTAGTGATACTGGTGATGATGACGATTTACAAGGTTGTTTTCTCTTTATTTTTTGTTTTTTAATCCGATGCAGCTATAAACTAAGGTAGTAGCTATTGAAGAAGGAAATAAGAATTACCTTTCTATATTATTATATATGATTAGCTATTTTAATCATACTTCTCAAGATACTAATTTATTTTCATGTATGATAAATGATTCAATCACATGTATATATTATAAAGCTACTTATTATCCTTAGTTCATAAAATGATGCTAATTAAGAAAATCGTCAAATTGTTGCTCTTTCTTTTTATATGTGTGAGCATTTTCAGAAGCGTTGGAACAACAACTACGTTCACAATCAATGCCAGCAATTGAAGAAACAAAACAAAAACAAATCAAATCTTATCCTCCACCACCGTTTCCGGTTAATAGTAATACGAAGAAATTATTGCATGATGATTTACAGCTAAGTGAAAGTTCGGATGAAGATTAATGATTTTTTTATATGCTTTTAGATGTTCTTTTTTTCTTTCGTTTAAATTTGCTGTGAAAAGTTCTTTTAGATTTATTTTATGTTTTAAGATTATTTTTTGAGAAAATGGAAAGAGATTGGATTAACTGTCACAATTAAAAATTTAAGTAATGAAAAAGAACAATTTGACAACTGGCATTTTCGGCTTTAGAAATTTCTTATATCGTTCTATTAGATATACATTGTACCAATGTTAGCAGATACAATGTACTTGATAACTGAGTTATCTTGGAAGTTTCAATAAAATATGCTTATCTTGAATCACTGTAATATTTTATTCTCTGAAAAAAAATTGCAGATCTGATTACTTGTATTCTTTTTCCGATATTTCAGTAAATTTTACGAACATTTTTGAATTTTGCCTTTATTCTTTGAATCACTTATACAGCATATCAAAGGTAAACATTTTATATTTATATTCACATTTGAAGTTTTGTATATTGTTGAAATAAGCTATTGAGTAACTTGTTTAATTCGTTAATCAGATCATTTTTTTGTTCTTTATACTTATATATTATTGTTTTATAGCATTGATTGATGACTGAATCGCTGTTTAGATTGCAAAGTTATGATCAAAAAACTTATCTATCACATGAATTCATATGTATATCAAAATACACAAACTAAAATGAATGAATGAGCCACAGTACGTTCATTTTCATTAATGGTTATAATTTAAATTTAATGAATATACAAGATAAGAAGGTAATAGGATGACACTATATAAAATTATAATAACATATATTTATTCTATCAATATCTTAACTTTATACTTCAAATTAAAATAAATGGTAAAATAGGAAATGAGGACAATATGTGAATCATCCATCTGTTGACTTCATAATATCCAATATCTGATAGTTAATCTTAATTGTCAACAAGATGACATTATGTATTCTAATCTAACATTCTGTAATTTCATTCAATTATTTAATATATTCAATCATTTTTTTTTTTCTAAAAATGGATTCTATTTTTTCACTTTTTTCTGTACGTGTCTTCAAGAATGCAAATATTGATCTCAGAAATGGTAATTGTAATATTTTTTTAATCAGAACTACTATATCATATCATTTGATTGAAAGGATTTATCATTTTATCACAATTACATGCATAAATAATTTTATAATGAGTTAAGTTGAAAAATATCAACAAAAAAAAAAAAAAAAAAAAAAAAAAAGATTTAAACGATATTATATATCAAAAACAGCTACAACATATATAGCAATTTACATACAGCAAAACATATGCAAAAAAAAAGAGGAAAAGTCATTTGGTATTTAATTTCGAGAAACATACGGGAAAATTATAGTAAAAGAGAAGGCGCAAGAGAAAAGACCCGTTTGCTTCGGGAATTTATTCCAGGAATTTTTTCTTTTTCTAATTTGTTTGTTGAAAAGAAAGCATTCAAAAGAAAAAAAAAAAAAAAGGAAAGAAAAACGATAGGCGCAATTGCTCTGTTAGAAGGAATGGCATTAAATTTAATTTTACTCTTATGTTTCTACATTTAAACTAATTCAACGAGGAGAAGTAAGTTTTAACAGAATGCAAATAATTGCAATAGACAGATATTTTCTTAAAATTAGAAAATGATCATTTTCTTTTTACATATATTAGTTAAATTTTTATTCTTTGCTTAAATTAATCAGTGCTAATTTTTAAACATGAAAAAGTTGTTGCTGACAACTATTTACTGCTAATCAATATTGCTAGTGTTTAAAATTTGGATTCTAATTGATGATGATATACAAACAGTGATAATTGATAATAGCAAATTTCAAGTATTATTTTCGTTTTCGAATTATCACTTTTTTTTTCGAGCAGAAGAAAAAAAAAATTATCTGTAAATAGGGAGCAATAATGATTTAATGTGAAATAAAATTTAAACATTTCAAATTTTAGACAGTTGTAACTGTGCTACTAGATTGATCATCAACAAGTTTTAGTGTTCGAGTACGCCTCACTGAAAATAAGTGGATAGATAATTGAAAATGAACGAAAAAAAGATTTACACTCATAGTTTAATTATTTGTAGTTAATTGGAATTTAAATTTGTGGTTAATTAGAGCTTTATACTTATATTTTATATATTATATATTTTTATATATCATTGTTTAATTACACATTGGAATAAAGTAAGTTCATATAATATAATTCGAAAATTGAATAATAGTAATTGAATAAAAATAAAAAAATTGAAATAATAATATGTATCTTTTAATTTTTCAATTCACCCTAGCAAATGAAGCATAAGAAGTTTCATGATCAAATCTGCAATTAATTAAAATTTTATAATTATATATTATATGTGTATGATTCGATCAAAATTAAAACTTAATAATTATAATTAAATTGCAATTAAATTAAATAAAATAATCATGATTGAATAGTTTCATATAGTTAAATTAAAAATGTTTTTCTTTTTTTTAATCAGTAAAATTTATTAATGATAAAATATTTGAAAATTTCATAACATTTGTTGAGAATAATTAAAAATCTTTGAAGTTATTTTCTAGAAAGAAAAAAAAAAAAACTTGCAAGATTTGCGATTAAATTGCCTAGCTCTACGACGATGATCACGTGGTTCCGTTTGAATTGTTGCTGCTTTTACAAGACCATCAAGAATTTCATCATCCGGTGATTCCTGGCCAGGACTTCCGGAATCAGTTAAACGTCCAACTGATCTTAGCACTATAAATACTCGAAATTATAATCGTATTTTACTTCCTATTTTTTTTTTTTTTTTGTTTTATTATTTTACTATTAATGTATTTTATTTTACTAATTCTTACTATTAATTTTATAAATAATATATCTTATTTTTACATTCCATCAATATAAAAATATTTTATTATTAATATAAGAGACATTATTACTTTTAATTCATTTATCTTTTTAATTAATCGATATTTATTACTGATTAAATAGTGATATGAAAAAATTCTCCAACTATCAATGTGTATCGTATTTTTAAAATTAATAAATTAGCATAAAAAAAAGCATACTTTCTCGTTGACTTGAAATGATATCAGCAGGTGATCGTTCAACTGTAGGCTTTCCTCGTGTCCTTTTTAATGTATCATCATTGTTTCCGCCAGTTAGCATACGTGACATTGCTTCATGTCGCTTAAATTATAAACAAAAAACTTAACTGATAATTTAAATCAATCAATACTTCACATATATTTTAAAATTCTGTAGCAAAAACTGATAGCAAGAAAATCAAATGCTTTTTGATATCGAGCAATTTATTCCTACATAAATAGCTAACAAACATAAAGTTAAAAATCTTTTTTTTTTTCTAAAAAAAACAAAAGTAAAAGAGAAACTAAAAGTTATCATACTAGTAGCAAAAAAATTTAATGCCTAATCGATTAGATCTAATTAATAGAATAAATTGATTAATAAATAAATGCATGATTTGGTACTAATTAATATAAATCCCATTAGTTGCATTAAATAATGAAATAAGTCTAATAAAGATAAATTGTAAATTATGAAAGGAAAATAAAATTTTGGATTATTTCAAGCATAAAAATGCAGCATGTAGCATACAATTCCAATATGTAAAATGTTTTTAATCATTATTAATCTGTCACAAAATAAATTGTAAATAAAAAAAAAAAAAAAAAAGAGAAAAATGTCATATAAATTTTGGATTAATTTTAATTTTTAAAACATAAAAATGTAGTACATAATTAAAATAATTTTTAATTATTACTAACTAACCTGTTCAGCATTCATTTGTATTGGTGTACGCTTTAAGTTACCATTCAATTCCATGCCATCTTTATTATCATTTTGACCATTTTCTAATGCCCATATCTTACCACGTGTTTTATTACGTTCACGTTTATCAGCTAATCGTTTCCGTTGTTGTAAAATTTTATCACGTGTGGTACGATATTCTAGCGCAAATTCGTTAACCATTTTGAAAACATTCATTGGCTTTAATGTTGGTACTTCATGAATACTATAGCCAAAAAAGAGCAAAAATGCATGCCATCTATAAAATTAGCGAAATTTTTTGTTTTAATCAATTAAATAATTAATTAAAAAAAGAAATAAAACAAAGAATTTCTTAAAAAAAAATTTCAAAAAAAAAAAAAAAAGAAAAGAAAATCATTTGTATAATTTACAAAAATTTTGTAAATAACATTTTTTTTTTAATTAAAAATATTTGTAAAAATTTTTGACAAGATGATAATTATAAAATTTATTCTTTTATTTTAATAATTTAACATGATAAATGAAATTTCGATAAGATACCAAAATTTCGTTTTTTTCTTTGATAAGACATCGAAAAATTTTAATAAATCGTAAAAAAAAAAAAAAAAACTTGCAAAATTCATTTTAGCATGCAATGATAAGATAAAAAGCAAGATAGAAATGCATAGAAAAATTATTAATAAATATCAATTATGTTAAATTATAAAATAAAAAAAATACAAAAAATATTTCCGTTGATTACTAACCTGTTAAAAGCAATTCGATAAATTGCTTTAAGTTGATGAATTCGTTGTGCTACATCATTTAAATAATCATTTATCTTTTGTTTCATTGATGATGAGCTATCATTTTTGCTAATTTTAGCTAAATAACCCCATGATGCTTTACAATCATGCTCTAATTTCTTTAAATTTGACTCCAATTCATCGTAATCGAACTAAAAACAAAGAAGGAAAAAAAAAGGTTTAAATTTGATTTCAATTTAAATTAAAACATTATATCATGCATATATTTATATTACTCTTTATAAATTATAAATAATTTTAATTTGACTAAATTTTCGATCAAATTGAAAATTTTAAAACAAATAGAGAGAGACAGAGAGAGAGAGAGGGAGACAAAAAAAAAATAAAAATTTCACCCTAGCAGTACGTGCAACAGCACCAAATTCGGAATATAAATCGGTTCCATCTGAACAATGCTCAATCATATATTCGGCTAAATGATATGTT